GCTATGTGAACGGGAGGGGTTTCTGGGACTCTGACAGAAGGAAGTAGGCCTGTGGTTTTGGACCATGTTTGCGTAAAAGTCCCGTCAATAGTACTGGAAATCACAGTATGTCAATAAAAACGGGGCCAAAGAGATAGTACAGTAGGCAGGACACTTACCTTGCATGTGGCTGACCTGGGTTTGATTCCCTGGCATCCCATATGGTCCCCCAAGTCCTACCTGACTGCAGAGGCAGAAATAAGCCCTGACGGGGGCTGGAGTACTAGCGCAGCAGGTAGGACATTTGCCTTGCACGCGGCCAGCCCGGGTTCGATTCCCAGCATCCCATATGGTGCCCTGAGCAGTGCCAGGAGTAATTCCTGAGTGCAGAGCCAGGAGTAACCCCTGTGCATCACCGGGTGTGACCCACCAAAAAAAAAAAGAAAAAAAGAAATAAGCCCTCACCGGAGCTGGAGTGATAGTACAGCGGGCAGGGCATTTGCCTTGCACGTGGCCAGTCCAGGTTCGATTCCCAGTATCCTACATGGTGCTCCGAGCAGCGCCAGGAGTAATTCCTGAGTGCAGAGCCAGGAGTAACCCCTGTACATTGCCGGGTGCGACCCAAAAAGAAAAAAAAAAAAAGCCCTGACCACCACCAGGTGTAGTCCACCCCCCTTCCCAAGAGACACTGGGGGATTGATAAAAAGAAAACATAGTTAGGGAAGAATGTAAGATTCCAGCTCGGGATACCAGGAGAGGAAGGGAGGTATGAGATGCGTTACAGTCAGCACAGGGCTTAAGCACTTGCCTCGAACGCTGCCAACAGGTGCACCTCCAGCATGGCTAAGCCCTAAGCACCTGGTGTGTGGTCGGTCTAACAACGCCCCTCCCCACACACACACCACCACCACTATTATCAAAAATAGCAGGGTGCTATTTGAACAGAGATCCTTAGTTCTGAAAGTCACCAAGCCAAGAGCTGGAAGAGAAGCCTTCCAAAGGGGCAAAAAGCCACAGCCTCTGGATGGGGAAAAGTGCAATAAGTTTAGAGAGACTAAGAGTCACGTGGCTCCCACAGTGGGAACAAGAGGGTGAAATGGTAGCAAACTCTCAGAGCTATAGGACAGCCAGTAGGGCGCTGCTGGCCCGGCTCAGCCGACCAGGGTTCGTTCCCAGGCACTGCATATGGTCCCCTGAGCACAGAGCCAGAAGCAAGCCCTGAGCACTGCCAGGTGTGGACCAAAATCGAACAAACAAACCAAAAAAGGGTTGGAAAAGTCAACCCAGGGCCAGGAACGGAGTTCAGTGGTAGAGCATGTATAAGACACTGGGCTTCATGCAGACGCAGCTTGAGCAGAATCACGAATCACGACCATCCTGTTATTCCTCGATTGCCTCGAGCAGGCCCCAGTAAAGTCTCCTTTGTCCTAGCCCTGAGATTTTTTTTTAAAAAGTGCTATATTCAAGGCTCTTTCAGAGTTAGGAGAATGAGACCCTTCACTGTTACTGGTATTTGGCATATTGGGTACGCCACGGGGAGTTTGCCAGACTCTGCTGTGTGGGCAGGTTACATTCGGTAGCTTGCCAGTTTGTCCAAGGAGATTTTAAGAGATTTTAGACATTTCAGAGAGATGATAGAGGGGGTATAATCTTGCGTCACACACGCCTAATCCAGGACTGATCCCATGTCACAGATGATCCCCTAAACCCACGAGGAGTGGTACCTGAGCGCAGAGCCAGGAGTAAACCCTGAGCATAGGCGGATGTGGCCCTGCCCCAAAAAACCCAAACAAAACAATGCAATTAAAAGGAAGCTTAACCCAGTGGCAGGCAGAGGCCACAGCGTGCACTGGTCGGGCGCTGCTCCCAAGGCCGTGCGTGAGATGTCACCCTAGAACTTTCCACCGAGGGACGGTCCCGTGACCTGGGCCGCGGTTCAGCTCGGGCGGCTGCAGACAGAACCGCCCGGGGACGCGGCCCACGACCCCACCTGCACTCACCAGGTCGGGCCGGTAGTACCTGTGCACCACTTCGGCGCCGGCGCACATGGCCAGCAGGCTGGACGCGAGCATTTTCAGGTAGGTGGGCCAGGGCACGCCCGCGGGCATGGTCAGCGGGTTGCACGCCCAGGCGGCAGGTGTCCGGCTCCCACCGGCCAACAAACCCCACTCCGTGGGGGGCCCGGACCCCCCTACTCACACACACACACACACCAGAGCCTGGCGAGCACAAACTCGGCAAGGACAGGCGCCCTTGGCAGGCGGAAGAGCAGCGGGGAAGCGCCCGGCGCGGGGAGGCGGGCCCCGCCCCCCGGACTTAAAGGCGACTTAAATCCCCGGGACGGGCACGGGGGCGCACGGCGGGTCGGACGGAACCAACGTGCCGCGGCCGCACGTGCCGCGCCGGGAGGGAAATCCGGGAGCGCCGGCGCCGGTCACGTGACCTGGGCGGAAGTAAGTTTGGCCAGGAACCAGTGCGCGTCTTCTAACCTAGTGTGTTGGCAGAAGAACTCCTCCAGAAAGTGTTCTTCGGGGCCACGATTGCAGGTGTTTGCCTAGTTGCGGCCCTTCTTTTTTTTTTCCCTTTAATAGGTCATTTTTATTTTGTGTATTTGGGCCACCCTCAACAATGCTCAGGGCTTAGAGATCTGACTGTGCTCAGAGATCACTCCTGGCAGGTCTCAGGGACTCCTGGCAGGACTCAGGGGCTATATGGGGTGCCAGGGATTGAACCCAGGTCAGACAGACACATACAAAGCAAGCTCTCAACCCTCTGTACTCTCTTTCGTCCCCTGTATACATTTTTGTTTTGTTTGTTTTGCCTTTTGGGGGGGTACACACAGCGATGCTCAGTGGTTACTCCTGGCTCTGCACTCAGGAATTACTCCTGGCGGTGCTCAGGAGACCATATGGGATGCCAGAGATTGAACTCGGGTCTGCTGCGGGCAAGGCAAACGCCCTTCCCGCTGTACTATTGCTCCGGCCCCACATTTTTTAAATTGAGTTTTTGTGTGTTTTGATAGTGGGGTGGTGGTGCCATAATGGGTACTGTCTTTTCAGTATGTGGTCGAATTCACAATTAGTATAACTCCCTGAGTCTGTAGTTTTTGTTACAAGAGTGTTTTGTTTGTTGGCTGGTGTTTTGGGTCGTGATCAGTAGTACTTAGGGCTACTCCTGGCTCTGTGCTAGAGGTCCGATCCACACTCGGTGCTCAGGGGAATACGTGGGGTGTTAGGGATCAAATCCAGGATGGCAGTGGGCAAGGCAAGCTCCTTACTCCTTATATTGTCTTTCTGGCACCAATCAAGTGATTTCAAACAGAACCAAAAAGACAATGCAGGGGAGAAATACTTTTTCTAATAGCACAAGGGTTAAGGCACTCATCTTGGCATGGTGCCCGTCCTGAGTTAGATCCCCAGCACCACACAAGTTCCCCCAAGCATAGCCAGGAGTGATCTCTGAATACAAAGCCAGGAGTAAGCCTGAGCAGGGCTGGATATGACCAGCCTAAGCAATACAATAAAAATGGGTTAAAGATTTGAACAGAGACTGGGATGAGCAAAGGAGATTGCCCTCAACTGACTGCCTGAACAGAACTATCTGGTGTCATGATTCCCAGCCAAGCTGCCAGGGTCACAGCTTAAATAAATCCTTGTTGCTGTCAGGCATTGGGAATTGGGAGTCATCTGTGTTACTAGACCAAAAGAGACAAGATAAATTTTAACAGTATTGCAACGTCTTAAACCATAATTAATACATATATATTTAACGGGTTATTGAGAAATAAGGGTCTAAGGACTCCGCATTTATTGAATGGTCTCTATCATATCCCTCAAATGCTAATATTTTTACATGTCCAAAGTAAAATGCTGGGGGATGGAGCAATAGCACAGCGGGTAGGGTGTTTCCATTTGCCTTGCACGCGGTGACCCCGGTTTGATTCCCAGCCTCCCATATGGTCCCCCGAGCACTGCCAGGAGTAATTCCTGAGTGCAAAAGCCAGGAGTAACCCCTGAGCATCGCTGGGTGTGACCCAAAAAGAAACAAACAATGCTGGTTTTTGTTTTATGCTTTACATTTTGCAATCACCCACATTTTTTGAATGAGGACAGTGAGGCTCAAGATGACACAGGAGATTTTACACCCACATTTTCTGATTTCAGAGCTGCATCGCCCTCTCATTTCACACTATTTGACATTCGACACTAAAATTTCGCTGCCACACCCAGAGGTGCTTCAGGGATCACTCCTAATAATGCTCCAGGGACCGGCCTGCGGTGGGGGAAGGGATGAACCCCGATTTGCCCCGCACAAGGCAAGCGCTCTACCCGTCCTATGATCCCTCAGCCCAAATTTGTAAATTTTACTTGGGGGTGGGGTTAGGGGTGGGGAGGAAGAACATCCGGCGGTGCTCAGGGCTTACTCCTGGCTCTATGCTCAGGATCACTCCTGGCCGTGCTAGGGGGACCCTATGGGATGCCGGAGACCAAACCCCGGGTCCGCTGAGTGCAAGGCAAGCCCCTTGCCCGCTGTACCATCTCTCCAGCCCTAGATGAGATTTTATTTTCTAAGATGCTATTTTTATTTCTAATGAAATTTTGGGTGGGAGGGCCCCGGAGGATCCCGCTTGGACAGTAACAGCTCCACCTACCCAGCGCCCCCAGCAGGGAAGCCCTTCCACCGCCCATCCGCCCATTAGCGAGCCGGTGAACAAAAGCTTAGCTCAGCAGAAGGCAGCCCCTCCCTCTCTTTCTGTCCTCCACCCTTCCCGAAAGGCCTTGCGGCGAGGAGCGGAAAAACCAACGAGCGGGAGCGCGAGCGCGATTGGCCTGTCCGGCGTCACGTGACGACGAGGGCGGAGCCCCTGGCACTGCGCGGCCGGAAGCACCCAGCGGCCCGGGAAGAGAGGAGGTAGGAGGGCGGGGGGGAGGGGGAAACGAAGCCGCTTGGGGGAGGAGCTTGCAAGCCAGCCGCCGTCTCCGTTCTGCCAGCAATCGGGTCCAAGCCTCTGGTGACTGTCATACAGCCGCACGTCCTTACCCCGCGGCACTCCAGATTCTCACCACCCCGCCCTCACCGAGTCGTTTTCGCTTTCCCGGCAAGAGCGATCCCCGGCGAGCGGCGGCAGGGGATGGAAGCGGAGAACGCGGGCAGGTAAAAGCCGGGGCCGAGCGCCGCCCCTCCCCCGCGCCCCTTCGCGGCTGGCCGGGCGGGCGCGCGCACGCACGCCGGGGGCTTTAGGAATCGCGATCGGCGGGCGCGCGCACGTACGCGGGGGGCTTTAGGAATCGCGATCGGCGGGCGCGCGCACGCACGCCAGGGGCTTTAAAGGTCGCGGCCGGCGGGCACGCGCACGCACGCGCGCCGGGGTCGCTGAGGCCGCGGCCGGCTACAAAGGCCCAGGTCGCGCGTGCGCGCCGCGAGGGTCTGCCACGGTCCCCCCCCACCTCGTTGCTGCGGCGCGGCAGGACCCGACTCCCGGGGGGCTTTCCCCAGGCTCCTAGCGAGATTTCAAAGCCGCCTGGGTGGGCAGCCGGCGGTGTCCGGGCCACAGTCGCTTCCGGCCGCCACCCTGGCGCCTGAGCACGGCCTGACCCCGCCTCCCACGCCAGCCCTCGGCGCTTGCGAGGCGCGTAGGTGGCCCACGGGCTCGGGGCTCTGCCCTGAGCCGGCCTCGTGGAGGAGATGGCGAGATTGGCCCCGGCAGAGATGGGGAGCCCCGGGCGCACGACTTAGCCGGGAAGCTGGTGGCCGACGTGGGGGTGATTGACGTTGCTCCTAGACTTCCTGCCCTCTCCGGACCCAGGGGGGCCCTGGCCCCTGGGCATCAGCAGGACGGACTCGGGATCCGTGAAGAAGGGGATCCCAGGGGAATCCCACGAGCTTTGGGTCTGTGTGGAGTGGGGGGCAAGAGTAGGAAAAGGAGATGCACGCGGTCAAAGGGGCACTTGCCTGCCTCTGGCTCGAATGAATCCCAGCGAGTTCTTTTCCAGCGTCTTTGCCAAAATTCTCTTTCATTGGGGGATGGAGGTTGAGGGCACAGCCCCAGATGCTCAAGGCCGCTTCATGGCCCTGCGCCCAGGGATCACTCCTAGAGGCCCTGGGACGCGGGGGAAATCATTTGTGGTGCGGGCTATGGAACCTACATAGGCCACGTTCATGGCGAGCGCTTTCCCAGCTGGGTCCCTTATTTTCTAAGGAGTAGTTGTTTGGGGGCCACACCCAGCGGTGCTCAAGGCTTATTCCTGGCTCTGGACTTAGGGATCACGCCCGGAGGGGCTTGGGAACCCTGTGGGGTGCCGGGGCTCGAATCCCTGTCAGCTGCATGAAAGGCAAGAGCCTTACCTGCTGTACTTTTTCCCAATTTTTTTTCTCCAGGAAAGAATCGCTTTATTAAAGAACAGTATTCCCCAAGAACTCTAGGAAATCACAACGTCCGCGGCACAGAATTGAAACCTGGGTAAAGCCTGTCATCAGATAAATGACACCTTTTAAGACTTGAGTGGCTTACCGCACAGACAGTAGTCTCTCTCTCCCGAGCAGTGTTTAGCTGTCTTTTTTTGGGGGGGGAGGGGCACACCCCATCCGTGCTCATGTCTCCAGCCCCCATCCCCTTTGAATTTTTAGACATCCCCTTCCTAAACAAAAACACTGCATTTCACTCCCTGACCAGCAAGTACAAAGTCAAGGGTTTCAGAGAACTGCTTCCCTGGGTTCATCTGAGGTCAGAGTCATTCGGAAGCACAAGGGCAGACTGAATTTTCCCAATTTCCTGGGGTAAACTTTTGCAAACTCAAAAACTTGATAATACTATGATATTAGGACTGCTAAACATCAGCTAAGGAGATATTACAAGGGTTAAGCCGGCCGACCCACATATGGCTGTCAAGTGTAATCGAAGGTGATCCAAGAGCATAAAACCAGAAGTAAGTGATGTAAGTGATGAGTATGTGGGCAACCCAGGTTTGATCTCTGACATCGCGTATGGGGTGTGTGTGTGTGTGTGTTGGAACCCAGGTTTGTTCTCTGACATCGTGTATGGTGTGTGTGTGTGTGTGTGTGTGTGTGTGTTGGAACCCAGGTTTGTTCTCTGACATCGTGTATGGTGTGTGTGTGTGTGTGTGTGTGTGTGTGTGTGTGTGTGTGTGTGTTGGAACCCAGTTTTGTTCTCTGACATCGTGTATGGTGTGTGTGTGTGTGTGTGTGTGTGTGTTTTGGAACCCAGGTTTGATCTCTGACATCCCGGGTGGAATGGTTGTGTGTTTCTGTAGGGTGTGTGTATCTGTGGTTGGGTGTCCTTTGCACCGGCAGGATTCTTCAGTGCAGAGCCCAAAAATAAAAAAGTTCAAAGGGGAAAACATTCTGTGGGTTGGGACTTTTTCTCTTTTTTTTATTTTTGTAAGAGAGAAAATAGTGTATGGGTCGTGACAAGCATTTACAATTGAATTAATAAAGGGAAAAAAGGAAGGGGACCAGAATGTTTCTAATGGATTGGAGCATAGGAGGACATTTTCTGGGGACAGAAAAGACACCAGCAAAGTGACAAGTGACCAGGGAAAGTGACAGCAGCCCTGAGTGCAGGAAAGATCAGCCCTCAGAGGTGGTTCAGTCTTCTGTAGAGATACTGAGAGACTCTGAGAGCTTGTTTGGCGAGCCCGGCCGGCTACTGAGAGATCCCGCCTGCATGGCAGAGCCTGGCAAGCTCCCTGTGGCATACTCAGTATGCCAAACACAGTAACAACAAGTCTCGCAATGGAGATGTTACTGGTGCCTGCTCGAGCAAATAGATGAATAACTGGAGGACAGTGCTACTGAGAGACCCAGGAGGCTTCTGAGCAAGGCGTGGCTGATGAGGGCAGAGAGGGGAGGTGCCATGCCTTTCCTAGCAGAAGCACAGCCAGGAGTTCTGTACCTCCCAAGCACCAAGTGCCCCTGAATCTTCCCTGCCCCCGCAATCTGACGTGAGAACAGGCCTGGACAGTGACTGCATGACTTAGGTCTAGTCCAGGACAAGGGGGAGACCGGAACCTCAGTGTCCCCTGTCTCTGCCCACTGCCCACTGGAGGGAATGAGAAAGAACAGAGACATTCGGGTTTTCTGCCTCGTTCACTGGCGTGATCTAACTAGAGGTGACGGAAACCCTCCAATTCTCCTGTGCTAGGAAAACTGTCTTTATTGGGATAACAAATTGTAGTTAGACACTTTTTCTGTTTTGGTTTTGCCACCCAGTTTGAAGTGTATCGACTGACTGTTGCCATTTTACCTGGTGGGAAAGTTGGGGTGGGGGCTGGGAGGGGTTGCCTGGGGAGAGAGTACAGGGGGTTAAGATGCTTGCCTTGCACACGGCCTCCCAGGGTTTGATCCCTCACAGCACATATGGTTCCCCAAGCCCCACCAGCAGTGATCCTGAGCTCAGAGCCAGGAGTAAGCCCTGGGCATTGCCAGGTGTGGCTCCAAAACAAAAAATGTGGTGGGGCTGGAGCGATAGCGGGTAGGGTGTTTGCCTTGCACGCAGCCAACATGGCCGACACAGGTTTGATTCCCAGCATCCCATAGGGTCCCTGAGCACTGCCAGGAGCAATTCCTGAGTGCATGAGCCAGGAGTAACCCTTGAGCATCGTCGGGTGTGACCCAAAAAAACAAACAAACCAAAAAAATGGGGGATGGGGGCTGGGGTGATAGTACAGCGGTTAGGGCGTTTGCCTTGCCTGCGGCCAACCTGGGTTCAATCCCCGGCATCCCATATGGTCCTCCGAGCACTGCCAGGAGTAATTTCTAAGTTCAGAGCCAGGACTAACCCCTGAGCATTGCCGGGTGTGAACCCAAAAGGGGGGGATATAAAAGTCAGATGGAGGAGGAAAGCTGAAACAGGTTAAGGAATTTTCCTTCCGAGCTACTAAATGGCAGAGGTGAAATGTGATTCAAAGCACTCTAGCTTGCCAGGGTCCTTTTAAAATGTGGTCATCGTGACACACACTTTGGGCCTCCTGCAGTGCAAGGGGAAAGCACCCAACTGCTGAGAGGCCCCCACTGGCTGGGGTGCCACAATAAAACCAGCAAATGAAAAAACAGACTGCACAGATGCGCACGGCGACAGGAGATCCAGAGCAAGCAACCAGGCAGATATGTTGACCCGCACGTTGCTAGAGAACATTAAGTTACATTGGAATAGGGATGGGAATGAGGAGACGGTGGCCGTAGGCCGCGTAGACTGCAAACTCTTCAGAGCTCTGCCCAACCAGAGACGCTCCTGGGCTGGAGTTGGAGCTCTGCGTGGGAGATGCTCCCGCAAATACCGTCCCTGAGCAAGCACCACCAGGTGGGCGCCCTCTTGCACCAAAACAGACTGCAGATGAGGGGCACAAGAGATACCACAGGGACTGAGGTGCTTGTCTTGATACCATGGGGACTAAGGTGCTTGTCTTGCTTGTGACCCAACCTGAGTTTGATCCCCAGCATCTTGTTGTCCCCAAGTCCCACAGGGAGCGGGCCCGAGCACAGAGTGCATCCTCCTCCCCCCAAAAAAGAAAAGACGAGGGCTGGAGAAATAGCCCATCAGGCTGGAGCGCCTGCTTTGCATGTAGGAGGTCCCAGTTTAGTCATGGGCATCACGACGCCCCGCCAGACATCAGCAGCGACCCCACCCCTGATCCTCCTGGGAACCTAATGAACAACATGGTCATCACAGCAAATAATACTGTACTGTATTCTTGGAAGTCTACCTGACCAAATAGGTCTTGTTGGGCGGAGGTTGGGAGTAGCCACACCTGGCAGTGCTCAGGATTACTCCTGGCTCTGAGCTCAGTTATCACTCCTGAGTGGGCTTGGGGCACCATATGGGGTGCTGGGGTTGAGTCTAGGTTGGCCATGTGCCAGGCAAGCACCCTGTACTCGCTACCCACTGTACTCATTCTCTGGCCCCTGAGAACAAGTCGGTCCTAAGGGCTGTTGCCACAGAAAAGTAATTGTGATTGTAGGTGGGAGTAACTGCATGAGAGTGAAGAGTGGGTTAGATCAGGCACTCCTGCACTGTTGCTGCAGCTGAACAGGGGTGGAGTTAGGTTGGAGGATTGGAGGGGATGCTTGTAGCAGGAGGAAGAAACTCTGAAAGTAGAAACAGTGTGCTGCAGAGAAAGTCTAGGCTGACTTGATCGTTGGGCTTTCCCGGCTGCGCGGGCCCTTGGGAAGGAGAGGGTGAAGGTTGTGTGTTGGACTCTGGTTTCTTCCTCTTATTGCCCCGTTTCCTACCTGAGTCACTGCTGGAGCCCGGCTGTATGCTGAACCATCCCTGTGGTGGGTGGCACTCTCCCTGCCCTGCCTTACGCTTCCTTGTTCTTTCAGCTGTTCCCTTCAGGTTCCGGCTTTCTATTCGTTTCCTTTTGCACCCACGATGGCCGAGGCGCCGGCCCCCATGGTGCCGAGGGAAGAGCCGATGCACGAGGAGCCAGCGACGGCCGAAGCCCCGCTGCCCGCTCCGGCGGAGGAGCCCATGCCAGGTAAGTTCACTCTGGACACTCGGGGACAGGAGCTGTGGCGCGAGGAAAGTGCTCGGGGGCCAGCCAGAGATGGGGTGCAGGCTGAAGGCCTTGCTGTTCCAGTCCCCGACACCACACGGTCCCCGAGCACCTTCGGGAGCAGCCCCCAAACGCAGAGCTGCTGAATATTGCCGGGGTGCCCCAGATCACGCGCACGCACGCAAATGCTTACAAAAGGTTTAGTGATAGATTTTAGCATTAAGGTATTGTTTTTTGGGTACCAAATATGTGCTGAAATCTACTAGTCTAGGAAAGAAAAAAGAGTCGGAGAAGAGAAATGGACCGCCGGGGAGTCCATGGGGTCAGCAGCTAGCTCAGACCAAGGCTCAGAGCTCTGAATGGGCTCCTGAGGAGATGAATGGCAGGAGCACAATCTGGGCCCTGGGAACGCCCTGGCCAGAGACACTGATGGGAGGTGCATGATCCTGTTACGGACCAGGAAATTGAATGTAAGCAGCGGGTGACTTGCATACGTTGACACTTACAACAGCAGTCTGGGGCTCAGGTGGGGGATGAATTGGCAGGATTCGGAGGCACGAAATGGGATTAGAAACGGCTTGGGTCAGCTCGGAACCAAGTGAGGCCTGAAGGCATAGAGGAAGACAGAGGAGATGGAGTGGCCTGGCCAGGCCGTGCTGTGGGTTTCACGGGGGCCAAGGGAGAAGTGGCACCCAGGGACCAACTCCAGGGTCCCAGCCCAGGCTGTCGATGGTGAAGGCGCCTGCCATTGACCAAGAGAAGAGAAGAGGCAGGGAGGGTAGATTTGGGTAGGTGGTGGTGGGTTGGGGGGGGGGGGGAGTCAGCATATTCTATAGAAACGTTGTGTGAGGAACATGCTAGAATACTCCTCACCGCCTTTCCTGGTCAGGGAACTGGACGGAGGTGGTTTCCTGCTCGGGGGCGCTCAGGGCAGTGAGGGGAGGAAGGACAGGAGGCGGGCATCGCAGGGGAGGGGATGAGATGCTGAGACTCAGGGGTAAGAAAAACATGGCTCCCCCACCCCTGCCCGTAATGCCGGGGGACCAGGGATTCTTAACCAAGGGAGATTTTGCATCCTCAAGAATACCTGGTGGTGTTGGAGATACTTCTATTATTTGTTGGTCTTTGGCCTACACCCAGCAGTGCTGGGGGCTGCTCCCACCTTTCTGGGGACCACGCAGTGCCCTGGCTTCCCACGTGCAGGCCTGTGCCAGCCAGTTGCCCTGTCTCCAGCCTCTGCCGCATTCTTCAAGCGATTCACCCCTGTTTGAGACTCCTCTGCTGAAATTAGGGATGTTCACTTGGAATGTTTTCTTCCTATACGCATTTCCCTCGTGGAGGCAGCTGCGGGTCCACATGTGACAGTGCTCAGGGATCACTGCTACTGGGGCTCGGGCAACCATTTGGGATGCCAGGGATCTAACCTGGGTCAGCCACCTGCAGCACAAGTGCCCTGCCTGCTTGCTTACTTTTGCCCCAGCCCCTCTTCCTGTATATTTTATCTTGGCAGGTGTGAGGAAGGGGAGGGCAGCAGTTGGTAAGATTGAACATCGAGCCTGTGATTATTCTGGAGGCTTTGTCCCTAGAACATCTCACAGAGGAGGGGGTGTTGGGATCACATGGGTCCAGCCTGGGGGGGTGAAGGATGGAGAACAGCTAGCAGAGGATGCTGATGCTGGGATTTAGACAAGAAAGGCAAAAGGGATGTCAACAGGGTGACTGCTGAGAAAGCTGTCTAACGTTTTTATCGTGGCGACATCTGTATTTCAGAGGCCCCAAGAGGAAGAAAAAGAAAACCCAGAGCAGCGTCACAAGCCAAAAAGCCTGCGGAACCCAAAAAGCGAGCGGAACCCAAAAAGCCAGCGGAACCTAAAAAACCTGCTGAGGCAAAAAAATCTGGCAAATCCAAAAAATCAAAAGACAAGCAAGAAAAAATCACAGATGCGTTTAAAGTCAAAAGAAAAGTGGACCGTTTTAATGGCGTTTCAGAAGCCGAGCTTTTGACCAAGACTCTCCCCGACATTTTGACGTTCAATCTGGACATCGTCATTGTAAGGATTTTTGTCCTCCTCTGGTCCGATAAAATAGTGTTGGTGGGTTGTGATGTGGCTTGTCCACTTTTTATCTCCGTTCGGTCGTGCTGCATGTAAGGACCTTTTTCTGAGAAGTCTTTTCACCATTTAAGGACAGTCCCTGCGCATCACTTAGATTGCAGACGCCTTGGGTCCGCGGGGCTGGGTACCGGGTGAGCTGCTTGGTGGGGATTGGGAGACAGCCTCGAGGCTGCTCCAGGCTCTGGTTGCTTGAATGTTCCATCACGTCTCTCCAGTCCAGGTGGGCGCAGGTGGATGTCAGGTAAAGGAATTTAGGGGGGGTAGGGAGGGTGAACATGGCTGGGCCACACCCAGTGGTACTCAGGACTTCCTCCTGGCTTTGTGCTCAGGGTTCACTCCATATGAGGTTCAGGAGACAATATGAGCTACTGGAGATTGAACCCAAGTGGGCTATGTGCCAGGCAAGAGACCTCCCCACTGTACTATCTCTCTGGTCCCTTGATAGAATTTTTTTTTTCTCTCTTCTTGGGTCACACCCAGCGATGCACAGGAGTTACTCCTGGTTCTTGCACTCAGGAATTACTCCTGGTGGTGCTCGGGGGACCATATGGGATGCTGGGATGCTGGGAATCGAACCTAGGTCGGCTGCGTGCAAGGCAAATGCCCTACCTGCTGTGCTATTGCTCCAGCCCCCCCTCTTTTTTTTTTTAAGGATATTTAAAGGATAGGATATTTTTGGGTAGGTTTGGTTTTAGGGCCATACCTGGCCATGCAAAGAGGTTGCTCCTGACTCTTCTCAGGAATTACTCCTGGTGGTGCTCGTAAAATCCCAGGGGTCGAACCCCAGTTGACCGCCTGCAAGATGAGCACCCGCCCTGCTGTACTATTGTTCTACCCTCTAGAATTGTTTTTTAAAACCAAAAATAGCAAAGCATCCAAGCCAAGGAATAGCCAGAAGTTGTGTGTGTGAGGCACTGGGCCAAAAAAAAAAAAATCTGGCAAATCAAAAGACAAACAAGAGACATGGTTGTCTTTTTATTTTTATTTTGGACCACACCCAGCAGTGCTCATGACTTACACCTTGCTCTGTGCTTAAGGATCATTACTTGCAGGTCTCAGGGGACCATCCAGTTGCCAGGGATTGAACTTGGGTCTGCTGCGTGCAAGGCAGGCTCCTACCCACTGTTACCACTTCAGCTTGTATAGGCATGTTTGAAGTCAAAAGAAATAGACGTTTTGGCCAGACCCAGCGGTGCTTCAGGAATTATTCCTAGCTCTGTGCACAGGGATCATATGGGTACCAGGGATCAAACCCAGGTCGGCTGCATACAAGGCAAGCGCCCTACCTGCTGTGCTCTCTCTCCGGGGTTGGGGGGGGAGGGGGCGTTTGCTGGGCACACAGCACAATGTAGGATACCAGGGATTGAACCGAAGCAGCCACAGTGAAGGCAAAGGTCCTACTATCTCTCTAGCTCTGAAATAGTTGCTTTAATGGTATCTCAGGAGCTGAGCTCTTGGCAAGACTCTCTGGCATTTTGACAGTCAAGCTGGACATTGCCATTGTTCCCTGGGCCAGTAGCAGCATTATCTTCCGACAACAACAGAGTATAGTGGCTTGAGCCAGAACTTCCTGTTAGAATGCTACTTGGATATTGAGCTCAGGGTTGGATCCCCAGCATTTCACAGTCCCTCAAGCACTGCTGGGCCAGGGTCTGCTCCAAAATTAATGAGTGGGGCCAACGCCATAGTACAACAGGTAGGGTATTTCCCTTATACGTAGCTGACCCAGGTTCAGTCCCCGGCATCCCATACGGTCCCCCGAGCATTGCCAGGAGAAAGCCCTGAGTATCACCAGGCATGGCCCCAAACCTCCCCCCCAAATACAATGATCCAAGACGTGTTCGCATAATGATGATGGTGATCTAAAATATGTAAACATTTTGTTTTGTAGATTGGCATAAACCCTGGACTCATGGCTGCTTACAAAGGGCATCATTATCCTGGACCTGGAAATCATTTTTGTAAGTGGTTAATTTTTATTAGTTTTTAAAAAGTATTCCCTTTTTTTAAAACCAAACTATCTTGGTTAAATTAGAGATACAGGATAACGGGAATGTGGTTTAGTGATGGAGCACTTACCTTGGCACCTGTGAGGCGCTGGGTTCCGTTCCCAGCACTAAGAAGAAAAAAAAAATATATATATATATTTATACACATATATATATATTACATGGACATTTTATATCTGTGTGTATATGAAACTAAAAGTCTAGAAATACGTCACTGAATATTTCCTAGTGTTCTGGTCTGGAGGCCAGGTTGGGTTCAGCGGTGGTTGTCCGTGGTGTTAGGTTGCCAGAGCTCGAACCCCGGCTACGGTGTAGTGAAATACATGCTCAGCCTCTAAACAATTCTCTGGCCACTCATTAAACGCACACCCAGTGGTGCTCGGGGCGATTTCCTGGCTCGGCACTCAGGAATCACTCCTGGCGATGCTCAGAAGACCACATGTTGTGTCCAGGATTGAACCCAGGGTGACCACGTGCAAGGCAAACACCCTACCTGCTATACAGTCTCCAGCCTCTAAACATTTTATGTTCCAGCCTAAAAAATTTTGTGTTTCTAAAAGTAAATAGTATTACTTGTTAAAAGTAACTAAATTAGTTACTAAAAGTAAATAGTATTAAAAGATTACATTTATATAATACATATGTACAGTTTTATTGGTGTTTTCTTTACAGACAAATACTAAAATGGTCTTTAAAAAATACAGAGGACTTCATATCATAACAATAGCTTAAATTTATCATTTTTTAGAAGGAATGACTTCACGTGTGTTGTTCATTAGAATAAACTAGCCGTCAAAGTAGAGTTTTTTCTAATTAAATCCACTTATGGCTGGAGTTCATATATATATATAGCAAGTTCATATATATATAGCTATATATTTAGCAAGTTCTTATGTCAGGTTCTTTTAATAAATAGATTTCTAGGAGTCAGTATACATTTAATACTCTTCTACTTTAAGAAAAATAAAAGCTTTATCACTTTGACACCATCTGTGAGTTTTGCAAGACATAAATAAAGCCTTAGTCACACTAAATTTAAAGGAAAAGAAAAAGACCCTTAGGGATATCTGAGAGTAATAAAGTGACTTTTTCTCATTGATATGTATATATATATGTGTGTATATATATATATGCATATATATATGTACACACACATATATGCGTGTAGGGTACTTAAGTTTTCACCCAAATTGTGATGTACAAAATGGATTATTATACAAATAAGCCCTAAGTAGGAGCCGTAGCATTTTTATGATTCCTTTGATATTCTCCCTGTTCAGAGCAGTTTAAGCACCAGGTTCACCTAAGCCTTACTGATTAAAAATGTATGGTAAGGCAATTAAACTAAATAAAAAAATAAAGTTCACCATTTAAAAAAGTTCAAGTTTTAGAACAGCTTTCTATAGCAGCTGTAGATAAATTAGTCACCTTGTTACAAACTTAGCCTTTGTAAACAATTTTAAAATTTATTTTTAAGAATCAAATTGTACTATTCAAGTATAAATTTCAGAATCTTAAAACTAAATTCAAAGTACTTTATCACTCATTGTACCCATAAACCGAGTGCCAAACTCTCAAAGACCAAATGCCTAGTTTATCCAAATCAACACAATAACACCGGGTCCAGAATTTTTTGCTGTGCAAAAATTGTGACCAGCTTCTGCCCAGCCGGCTTGGGAATGAAGCCATATTTGTAAACAAGTCCAGCTGCCTTCGAACAGCCAACCTAGGAACAAATAAGTTTCTTCATCTCATTTAGTGCCAACTTTAAGGGTATTTCAATAGAAGCTCGGCAGTGAGAACCTGTAAGCTGGCTGGGAGAGTCACAGCACAGCCTTCCAACAAGGCTCCCTGACTCTGGCCCCGTTCTGTCTTTATTTTTTTCCTTTTGGAAAAAAAATTTTTTTTTTCCTTATTTTTTTCCTTTTTTCCTTTTGGGTCACACCCGGCAACACACAGGGGTTACTCCTGGCTCTTCACTCAGGAATTACTCCTGCCGGTGCTCAGGGGACAATATGGGATGCTGGGAATCGAATCTGGGTCGGCTGCATGCAAGGCAAACACCCTACCCGCTGTACTATCACTCCAGCCCCTTGTTTGAATTATTTTTCCATGAGTTTCACTACTTTTGTTCTTATTATCGGCATAGTAACCATAGCACACCGTTTTGCTAGTGCAGACAGAATCCTGACTTTGCATGATCGCTGCTGACCTTACCCCTACAGGGGATGACGCCCATTGCCGTTCAGGTTGTCATAAATCGTTAACATGTGACCAAGGACCAAGGATGTGGGTCAGTGGCCCAGCGCTTGCTTTGAAAGGCTGAAGCCCTGGGTTCTGGTCCCCAGCACCACATAAAAATAAAAGAAAATAGAAAAGAAAAGAGACAACCACATCAGTTCACTAGGCAAAAGCCTTCCTCCGAATTCTCACCTGAATTCTCTCTCACAGGGAAGTGTCTGTTTATGTCAGGGCTGAGTGAAGTTCAGCTGAATCACATGGATGACCACACATTACCAGGGAAATATGGTATTGGGTTTACCAATATGGTGGAAAGGACCACGCCAGGCAGCAAGGATCTTTCCAGGTAAGTGCATCACCCCTTAAGGCTGGAGCCTTGGCTGCTGGCCTCCCTCCAGTGTCCCACGGTACCTGGTTCAGGCAAGGACGGATGTTACTGGTGATATTATATGCTAAGTATAGCGTGATCTTTCATTGAAGGTAGCCTGAATTTCTCATTTTATAAGTACTGCCAAATTTATGTATTTTTTTAATTTATTTTTTTCCAGTAAAGAATTCCGTGAAGGAGGACGTATACTTGTGCAGAAGTTACAGAAGTATCAGCCGCGGATAGCAGTGTTTAATGGAAAATGTAAAGGTTTTTTTTTTTTTTTTTATTTTAGTGTTTTTGTTTTGGGGCCACACTTGGCGGTGCTCACGGCTCACTCCTGAGTCTGCAGGATCATTCCTGGTGGGATCAGGGGGCCATAGGAGGTGCCAGGGAACAGACCTAGGTCAGTTGCACGCAAGGCATGCACCCTACCCATTGGACTATCTCTCTGGTCCCCGCTTTGTTTTATTTTGATTCCTGATACCATGGATCAAACCCAGGGTCTTTCACTGTTCCTGAGCCACATCCCTGCCCACGACTATCTTTGAAGTTTATTTTGTTTTGTTTGGGGGTGGGGTGTATTTTGACCCACGTCAGGAGGTGCTCAGGGGCTAGTCGTGTCTCTCTCGGGAGTGACTGGCTGCGAGCGGTGCTTGGGGAACCATATGTGGGCCGGGGTTTTGAACAAAGTTCACTGCATGCCAGGCAATGATCCCTGTGGCCCTGGTTTTGAACTTTCGTCCTTTTTGCTAGCACCATGGGAAAAGTAATGATAACTGTGTTTGTGTTCCATTTTAGGTATTTATGAAATATTTAGTAAAGAAGTTTTTGGAGTCAAGGTTAAGAACTTAGAATTTGGACTTCAGCCCCATAAAATCCCAGACACAGAAACTGTAAGTACTTAAATTCGTATGTCTACAATGAGCCTCTAGCAGGAACATTCTCTAGCTGGTGCCTTTTTCAAATTTGTCCTACCCATTGTATTTGTGTCCGTGCCATGGGGAAAACCCCCTGAATTAAAAAAAAAAAATCTAATAACCTCTATGTCTTGAACTTGAACTAGTGGTTGGGAATTCACGTAGCATCACAAATGGCAATGAGTTTTTATCATTTGGCTCCTCTACGGAGAGGAACCAGCTTGCTGCCTTTAAAATGTATTTATGTATTGTTGGGGCTTGTTGGGGCTTCTGCGATAGCACAGCGGTAGGGCGTTTGCCTTGCACACAGCCAACATGGCCGACCCGAGTTCGATTCCTCCGCCCCTCTCGGAGAGCCCAGCAAGCTACCGAGAGTATCTCACCCGCATGGCAGAGCCTGGCAAGCTCCCCGTGATGTATTCGATATGCCAGACACAGTAACAACAAAGTCTCCAATGGAGACGTTACTGGGCCCGCTCGAGCAAATCGATGAACAACGGGAGGGCCTTTCTTCTATGTATTTGTTACCTTCGTAAAGATACAAGACTATGTGCTGTCATAGATCGTTTATATACTTGGCATATCCTTGTCAAAATCAAGTTGGTCAGCCCTTTCAGTTGTGAAACAAACACATAATGACACACCTAACTAGTAAAATTGCTAATCGCCCATTTACTGTCTTAGCTCGGTTTTACTAGAGCCGTAAAAATAAGGCCGGCCAGTTTCCCAAGGACATTCAGTAAGTCTGACTTGCCTTCCGTGCTTTCATTTCACACATAAATTTGTGAAATCATGGGCTGGTTTTCAAACGTGATCATGTCCACCGTGTGTCTGTGGGTGTTTGCCCTACAGCCTTCACCTTTCTCCCTCCTCTCCCATCTGTTGACATTGTTGCAGTGCCAGGGCGGTGTGCACGGTTGGTTGGGTGCTCACACCATCAGGCCAGGACTGCCCAGTGGCCACTGTCCCTGGCTGCCCGCGCACGTTTTGTGCCCACCTCGAGCCAGATGCCTGGGATTGAACCCACAGCCTCCAGCGTAAGACTGAGTGCCGAGACACCTGCTTTCCCGTTGGGATCGCTGCTGGTCACCAGAGGGGCACTCAGTCCTTGGGTCCATTGCTGGGTGGGTGCCCTGGGACTCCTGAGCTTGGGAGACCCCAAAAATAAATACACTTTTTCCAATAGCTTGTGGCATGGAGGCTAGTTTTAAAATTGCAACAACAAAATTGTGACTAAAAATTCTGTTAATCCAGCAGTCTCTTTTGCATATTGTATATTTTGTTACAATCTATGAAGGGGTTTTTTTTCTTTTTGCCATCCTCTAGTGTGATGAAAGCAAAAGTCTTCTTAGCTCTAAGAATTTTTCTTCTTACCTCTAAGAATTTATCCAGCTTACATATTCACTTAAATGCAAAATTCAGTATGTACAAGGTTTTTCATTATAATTTGGTAATATCGAAAGACTGAAAACACAGGCCCAGAGAGATAGAATAGTGGGTAGGGCACTTGCCTTGCACGCAGCTAACCCGGGTTCGATTCCCAGCATCCCATATAGTCCCCCTGAGTTCTCCAAGAGTGGTTCCTGAGTGCAGAGCCAGGGGTAATACCTGAGCACCGCTGAGTGTGGCCCCAAACCCCCCCTTCCCCAACACCACCACCACCCCCCCCCAAAAAAAAGAAGACTGAAAAGAACTAAAGATTCACAGCCTGGCCTCTGGTTAAATCAGTTACGAAAAGTTACTTCACCCCCCATTCTCCAGCTGCATTCCACTTCCAACCTGTTTCCTGCCTGTGTCCCCCATCCTCCTGGTTGACCCCCCACTCCCATCGTGGTCCCTCTCTTAATGTGATTTTCACCAGTGCCCTCTGGAATATCCTGGGGACTGTATAACCCCTGCTGAAAAACAGTTTACAATGTCAGAAGAAGTTTGTTTTTTAACGTTTCTTTGGGGTCATATCTGACGATGCTCAGGGGTTACTCCTGACTCTGCTCTCAGGAATTACTTCTGGAAGTCCTCAGGGGGCCATATGGGATACTGGCGATCGAACCATATGCAAAGGCAAATGCCCTGTCCACTGTACGTTCTTTCAAGCCCAGGAAGATTTACTTTTTTACTCTAATATAGATAGTTGTTACAGAATCAGCTCTGAGATGTATTAGTGTGAATGAAAAAAGAAAAGCATGTGTTTGTAGGAGTGAGGGAGAGGAGAGAAGACATAAGCATTTGTGTCTTGGTGGAATACCTCTAGGCTGGCAGCCTTGATGACACTAGGGGAAAACTCTGTAAGGATGGACTTAAGGTGGAGGACTTTTATTTAGACTATTATTAATATGTTGGGGCTGGAGCGATAGCACAGCTGGTAGGGCATTTGCCTTGCACGCTGCTTATCCGGGTTCGATTCCCAGCATCCCACGTGGTCCCCCAAGCACTGCCAACTCTTGAGTGCATGAGCCAGGAGTAACCCCTGTGCATAGCCGGATGTGACCCCCCCCCCAAAAAAAAAGACTGTCATTAATATGTGAATTAGTATGGTGGAGCCTCATTTGCCGGGAGGTATTTTTTGATATTCCCATGAATAAGGACTACAGATTTAAACTCTTTCAGCACTATTTTATATTGAGAGGTCTTAAATATCCAGTTATTAATCCAAAGAAAAAATGTCTGCTCTCAATGAATGGATTCAGTGGAATTCTGGAACTTAACTGACATTTTATGATTGTAGCTCTGCTATGTCATGCCGTCATCTAGTGCTAGATGTGCGCAGTTTCCTCGCGCCCAGGACAAAGTGCATTACTACATTAAGTTGAAGGACTTAAGAGATCAGCTGAAAGGCATTGAACGGAACACAGACGTTCAGGAGGTGCAATATACATTCGACTTACAGCTGGCCCAAGGTCTGTCGCTACCGGCATTCTTTACTCGTTTGGTGGGGGTGTTGTAATTGTGAGATTGTGAGATTGTGAGATTGTGTAAAGTAATTTAAGAGCTGCAAACAAGAAAAGTGGTTGACAGGTTCTCTGGTAACGGACATTAGCACTGTCAACATCTCCTTCTCCCTAGACCCTCCAGCTACACGGGGTCCTCCTCCAGATAATTGGGGGCCTCAGAAATGTGGGACTGCATATATAGTTCAGTCTTGATTGTTAGTTGTTTTGTTGTTGTTGTTGTTTTAATTGGGTCACCGTGAGATACTACGTTTTCATGATTGGGTTTCAGTCATACAATGACCAAACACCCCTCCCTCCAAGTGTACAGTTCCCACCACCAGTGTCCCCCCGTATCCCTTCCGCCACCCCTACCTCACCCTCAGCCTCCATGGCAGGCACTTTCCTTCTCACTCTCGGTTTTTATGGGTCTTGAAACTTAATTTAGTATATGAAATGAAAAGGTGATGGTGACGGGGTGGGAGCAACAGGACAGCAGGTAGCTTGTCTTTTGAATCCCCGGCATCCCTACCGTCTCCTGAGCACTGCTGGGTGGGCCCAACAACCCCCTACCCCCCCCCATCCAGAAAAAAAAAACACCACAGTGATAGAGATCCCACTGTGAACATTCAAGAATAGGTATTGTTTGGTGAAGAATTCTAAATCTCTCTTCAGAATTGTGCGAAATAAGTCTGAATCACTTTTACTCTCACAGAGGATGCAAAGAAGATGGCTGTGAAGGAAGAGAAGTACGATCCGGGTTACGAGGCTGCTTATGGAGGCGCTTACAGTGAAAACCCGTACAGTAGTGAGCCTTGCAGCGTCCTTGCCAATGGGCTAAGTATGTCCTGCTCGCTGCGCCCCTTGCAGATGCTTGCTTTCTTCGGGCTGAGAAGCGAGTCCTGAAAGAGGAAGTTGGGGCTCCTCCTCAGGAGAGGCCTCTGATGACCTGGGAGGGAGGGACTGAGGGAGGGCGTGGTAGGGGACTAATACTGAACTAGTAAAGGTTTGAAGGCAGTGCCGACTAGTGAAGCATCGCTGGGCAGGTTTTCAGAGCATTTTTCCTAAGCCACTGCCTCTGTAAGTCATTCGAATTGCATTTTCTCTCTTGAGTGACAAGCGAAGATTTACCCATCTGTATCTGCAAATAGTCACTTGAGATTGTGCTCAAGCAGTTTTCTTCACAAATCATGTTCTCCTTTAGTGGGCTGTTAAAAATCTCCTAATTTGATCATTTAAAACGTTAAAAGTCGAATAAAGGACCCTCGTTTCCTTTCCCCTTAGCTGCTCCCAGTGGAGAGTCGGCGCTGAGTGACGTTCCGAACGGGCAGTGGATGGCCCAGCCGTTTACAGACCAGATTCCTCCCTTCAGCACACAGTGCGGCACACAAGGACAAGAGGACGGAACCCAGGCCTGAGAGTGGTGCTTCTCGGCCCCGCTGCAGCGCTGCAGTTTTAATGCAGCGGTCAGGAAGTGGCCCTCAGTTGCTAACTGAAGTATTTTATTAGCATTTTACTCTAGTGATGTAATCATGGTACAGTTGTGTAGTAGAATCAACTGTATGAACCTAAGTAGTTTGGAAAAGAAGAAGTAGGGTTTTTGTTTGTTTGTTTTTTATTTTTGGTATGTGAGTTTTTGTATTTGAATTAACCATCATTCCAGCTTTTTATAAACTGTATTTCGCCGATGAAGATACTGATTTACTTTGGGGAATCACTTTTAACCTGTACTTTTTAAAAGGCAAGTGTCTGAATATTTATTTTTGATGATGAACTGTGCACAAACCTAGATATGTACACCCTCGACCCCTTTTCATGCCCGAGCAGGGCATGCTTCTCACGAGGTGCTGTGGGGAGGCAGGGGGCCGTGTCTGCGTGGGCCCACCGTGCGGCGGGGAGCCAGGTTTGACGGGCTCCCAGCGTCCCAATGCGCTCACTCACCTTCAGCTGAGAGTGACGGTCGCCGGGGCGGAGAGGCCAGAGTGAGGCCTGGCTGCCACAGGGGACCTGCCCCGACCCGGCAAACCCAGCCTGGCATCGGCCTCCTTGAGGCATGCAGAAACTCCTCCGCCGCCAGTGAGTTCAGAGACTGTCGAAGGACTTCTCAATTGTGTCCGCTTCCCCTCTGTTGAACCTTTCCCCATCTGATGGGGAAAGAACTGTTGTCTCTCCAGATTATCTAGCCTCCTTGTCTTTAAGGAGGTTCCTTGGAAACTGGTAAGAAATGAATTTTCGGGCTGAGGACCAAGGTGCTAGGGGTGTTTGATCATCTGATTAAAACTGGTGCTTTTATGTACACAGATGTACCGAGACAAATAATACAGACTTTCTCTTGCTTAGGCAAACCTGATAAGCCAAGTATTTAAAAAATACTTTTCTTCTGCTTCATCCTCCCTGCTCGTTGCCATGGCCTAGGTGAACCCCATGCGGGTTAATTTGGAGTAATGTACCTTTGTGATTTCCGGCCGCGTTTCCACGGCACTACACATAGTCCGCACTGCTGGAGCCGGCAGAGCTTAGGGCTGGGTGTCCAGAAATGCCATATGCGTTCATTCCTGGTCTCCTCTGTCTGGGGCATGCTGTTTTTCATATGAAAATATTTATGATTTCTCCCCCCCTCCCCCAGAGTCATATGGCCTGGTCTCTTTATGATAAGAGAAACCCAAGTTGTGTATCTTAATATGATTATTTTTTAGGTGTGGCTGTGATGGATTTTGTTTTCTTTTCAGTCTAGGTCAAACTGTGTAGTCATTCATGTTATTGAAATCATGTACTGTACTGCTGTTTACATGGATGTTTGTGCGGGTACTTGGAAGTGCCTTGCATCAGGGATTAGGAGCAATTGAATATTTTTTCATGGGATTATGTAAAGCATGTAACTTGTTCATTGCTTTTGTATACATCTATTGGAACCTTAAATAAATTTTTTTTTTTTTTTGAGTGCAGAAAATAGGCCTTTAAAGTAATGGCAGACACACACTAGAGTGTGGCTGTGAGGGTTTTTCCAAGCATACAATGATGATGTTTTTCCTAAATACAATGAATGAGGAGTAAATGTTGGTATATCCTGTGTGTGATACGATGGTATGACTTTCATTAAATAATATGAAAAGGTTTTAAAATTCATTTGAAAGTCTGATGGTTTCTAAATAAAAAAGTACTTTAAGAAGGATTATCCTTAAGTTGCAGGTTTTTATACAAGAAGCAAGACTTACTGGTATTTTCCCCCTTAATCTGATATGTTTACTTTCTGTGGTATTTAACATGTAGAGTCATTTCTGTAATGACAATCATTTAAAAAAAAAAACTATAAATAGTTTAACTCTTCAGATACTCTAAATGTAATAAGTTGTTCTACAAAAGACAAGATTGACGGCCTGTTAAAAAAATACTTACATACAAAAAAATACATTTAGAAATTTTTTTAATGTGTGGGTATAATTGTCATTTAGACGTAAGCAAAGTGATTACTGATGCCTGGATGGGTTTCTCTCTGACTCACACAGTCCAGACGACCATAACTAGCGCTTGTGCTGTAGAAGTCAGAGGTCCCAGTCTCCACGGCAGTTGGCACACAAGCTTGGTTTCATTGGGTCACGTGTTGGAGGTGATGTGAGTCCTGAGGAGCGGGGCCCAAGCAGGCTGCCCAGGTGGTTCGGGTTTTAGAAGGAGCAGCTGGAACTGCAGGAGCGGTCAGCTGCTGCGGGAACGGAGTTTGAATATCCCTGCAGGGTCGGGCACAAACCAGCTTTCCCATAAGTCATTGTGAACACTCGGGAAGGCCCAGGGCTTGTGTCTCCCGTTCCAGTGGAGTAACTTGGCCTCCTGCAGAAAGTGTTCCGAATACCTGGTATCTGGACTCCAGCCTTCGTTGTGTTCAGTGGGAAATAAGATGTGTTAGAGAATAAAATAGCACAGTGGGTAGGGCGTTCGCCTTACACGCAGCCAACATGGCCGACCCGAGTTCGATTCCTCCGCCCCTCTCGGAGAGCCCGGCAAGCTACCGAGAGTATTCGATATGCCAGACACAGTAACAACAAAGTCTCCAATGGAGACATTACTGGGCCCGCTTGAGCAAATCGACAATCAACGGGAGGGCCTTTACCTTTACCTTTTACCTTTAATTGTCAAAAATCAAGGCCCACCAGGAGTAAACCTTTGAGTGCAAAGCCAGGAGCAAGCCCTGAGCATGGCTAGGCGTGTCCCCACCCACAAGGTCAAACGTAACTTCATTGTAAAATTGAAAAATGGTATAAGATAACGCATTTATCACTTCATCAGGATTGTCCAAAATAATCCTTGTTAAATAACGATTCTCTCAAGTCTTTCCAGTAATATTCTATGTGTGCGCATCAATTTAAAACTCCTCCACCCAGATCCCCCATCTTCCAGTAGGTAGGTGTCACACCTACCAACTGCCCCGGCTCCGTGAAATCCTATTAACAGCCAAGACCTAGAGACTATAAAACCCAGCTCCCAGTAGAGAACAGTTCAGTGTCTCCTGCCCCCGCGCCTGGCTGTCCTCACCAGGGCCACTTGGAGGGGGGTGGGTTGAGTTTCCCTCCCTGCCCCAAGCAGAGCCCCGGCAGTCGAAGACCTCCGGAACCAGCCACGGCCATGCTGAGACCACTCTCCACACGTCCGGACAAGCCTCATGCATGAAGGAACCGGCAGAGGAACCCAGGCATGTGGGTTCTGGGGCTGAGATCTCCAAGCTTGCTCAGATCGGGACTGGGCCTCCTCCACCCAGATCCCCCATCTCTCAGTAGATAGGTGTCACACCCACCAGCTGCCCCTGGCGCCAGTAATCCCATCAATGGCCAAGACCCAGAGACTATAAAACCCAGCTCCGGGAAGTGCGCGGCCGCATTCGCAGCCACGCGACATCTTATTATCTAATTCTTAATCTGGAGAACCTGGCAGGCTACCGAAAGTATCCTGCCCGCACAGCAGAGTCTGGCAAACTCCCCGTGGCGTTCTCAATATGCCAAAAAACAGTAACAATGATTGGTCTCATTCTCCTGATCCTGAAAGAGCCTTGAATATGGCACTTTCTAAAATCTCAGGGCTAGGACGAAGGAGACGTTACTGGTGCCTGCTCGAGAAAATTGATGAGCAACAAGATGACCCGTGATACTGTGATACCCTGGAGCTATTAAGGACTTATTTCTTTTGGCTTTGCACTCAGGGATCACTCCTGGCAGGCTCAGAGGACCTTATGGGATACCAGGGATTGAACCTGGGTCAGCTGTGTGCAAGGCAAGCACCCTATCTGGCCCCTAAGGCCATAATTTACAGTGGCAATTCCTCCACCATTATCCTGTTGTTAAAGGGTTTTTTTTTTAAACAACATCCTCCAGCAGCAAAATCTAGATTCCTCGAAAGTATTGCCAACGTTTATTCATATCTATTTGAATTAGAGACTTTGTGTGATATTTAAGTCGAAGTGGTTCTAAATTTCCAAACAGGCGGGGCCTGGTGTTTCTGACTAAGGGACTGGCTGGCCCAGATGTCTGAAGTCATATGAATATGTGCTTTATGCTGGGCTCTGTCCTCAGGAAACCACATAAATTAGGTCATTTGTTCCTTACAAAACACTTCATAAGTTCTATGGACTGCAGTTTCCCAGTGAAGAGAGTAAGGCCCTGCCAGGCTGAGTCTGCCCAAGAGGCAATGGGAGCTCGGGTTCAGGCCCTTCCTCCGAGTCAGCTGTCCCAGAGGACAGTAGCTGAGACCGCAAAGGGACTTGGGACATGGTCCACAGCGGTTTCTGAGAAGCCCCGTGGGTGGCCAGAGATGGCTCAGAGGCCGCATATCTGACCTGGAAATGTGAGACCCCGGGTTGGCCCCAGCACCTCCCTCCATGCTCTGAGCAGGGCCACTGTCCCCTGGCCATAGCCAGGCTGCAAGTGTGTGATCCCAGTCGCCACAGCATTCCAGCCATGAAGGAAGGGAGAGGGAATGTTTTATACATTACCAGCCATCTAAGTGCATAAAAAACTACTATGCCAGTTCATTTGATTTAGGTCTTAAAGGCAAGTAAAAAAATTTTTCTTCGTGTCTGTGTATGTGTGTATATGTGTGTTACTGTGTCAAAATAAGTTTTGAAACTTATTTCAAGGGTCTGGAGTTATAGTACAGTGGATAGGGCGTTTGCCTTGCACACAGCCTACCTGGTTCAATCCCTGGCATCACATATGATCCCCTGGGCACCACCAGATATAATTCCTGAATGCAGAGCCAGGATTAATCCCTGAGCATTGCCATATGTGACCAAGAAAGACACACAAAAATTAAATAAACTAATTTCCGGTTCAGTCCATACCCAGGGTTGCTCACAGGCTAGTCTCAGCTTGGTGCTTGAGGCTCTGGGGACCAGGGGTGCCAGGATTCAAATCTGGGGCTACATCATGCAAAGCATGCACTCTAGCCCTGGGAGATGGTGTTCTCCAGGCTGATTGGTGAAAAGGTTTCGAATGTTTCATGTTTTTCCTTTTTTTTTTTAGGGTGCCCCCTGGTGGGAGGCTATTCCTGGCTTGGTGCCTCAGGAGTGCTGACAGTACCAAGGCACACCAGGGTGTGAACCCAGAGTTCCCACATGCAAAATATGCTCTCCAGCCCTTTGTTCCTCTCCCTGCCCAAAATGCCGCTCTTTCCACGCTAATGTTTGTTGAGAACGCATGGGGTGTGAGGTTCCTAGAGACACATCCCATCTGGCAGGCAACCTAGCAGCCACGCCTGTGGAACTGAGTGCTGAGAGTTGAGTCCTAGATCCCAGGCTGCCCCCTGCGCTCTCGATGCTTGCCAGGTCTAGAAGATGCTCGTGTGCCCTGCTTCCCCCTCGGACTTACCCAGATGCCGGATGTGCCACAGGGGGTTGATGGCTGAGTGCTTCCCGTGGAACACGATCAGCATCGGGGACGTGGCCACCCCGCCGCCCAGGGAGCTGCTGTAGAGATTTTCCCTGGGGAGACGCACAAGCAACATTCAGCCAGGAGCCCCACAAACTTGGATCAAGTTGAGTCTAGTCATTTTATTTTACTTTTTTTTTTTTTTTTTTTTTTTGCTTTCTGAGTCACACCTAAGCGATGCTCAGGGTTTACTCCTGGCTGTGCACTCAGGAATCACTCCTGGCAGTGCTGGGGGACAACATGGGATGCTGGGGATCGAACCTGGGTCGGTTGCGTGCAAGAAAAACGTCCTCCCCACTAGACTATCCCTCTGGCCCCTATTTTAGTTTATTTTTTTTGAGGTTTATGGCCACACCCGAGTCTACGTCGTTTTAAAAGATGGAAGACATGTCTGGGTACAGTATCTGATAGGACTATGGGGAGCTGGAGCGATAGCACAGCAGGTAGGGCATTTGCCTTGCATGCAACCAACCTGGGTTCGATTCCCAGCATCCCATATGGTTCCCCGAGCACTGCCAGGAGTGATTCCTGAATGCAGAGCCAGGAGTAACCCCTGAGCATTGCCAGGTGTGACCCAAAAAGCAAAAAATAAACAAATAAAAAGCACCATACCACTTTAAAAAAAAAAAAAGAAGAAAGAAAGTAAATGGTGGGACCAGAGCTTGCCTTGCACGCGGTCAACCCAGATTCAATCCTTGGCACCTCTCATGGTTTCCCAGGAGTAAGTCCTGAGCACCACCAGGTGTGGCCCCCGTTACCCCACCCCCACCACCACCACCAAAAAAAAAAAATAGTTAATGGAGGAGCTAAAAGAGAGTGCAATGGTTAGGGCACATGCCTGGCATGTACCATGTACACGTCACGGGCTCCTGAGCATCACCGGGTGGGTATTCCTAGCACCACAGGACCAGAGTGGCATTGCATCCTCAGACCCTTGTCCCTTGCACTGAACTGCCAGTAGCACTTCAGGCCTCCTGAGCGCTGCTTGGGAACCCAACCCACGCCCCACAAAAAAAAAAAAAAAAAAGTTAATGGAATGATCTGGATGCCCAGCGGGCGGTCTCCACCTACTCCACGTTCTTCTGCATCCACGTCTCCAGCTGCTTGGTGATACGCTGCTGCTTCCACTCGGTCATGTTGGCGACCATCACCCCGGGGTTGAAGGAGCAGGTGCTGGGACTGATGCCGAGCTCCTTGATGGTCTTCTTCCTGTAGTCCAGGTAGCCCATGTACGTGCTCTGCAAAGGAACATCTGTGTGCCTCTAGACAGTGCCGCGTTTCTGGAAAACGCTCGCTGCTTTTTTCCAGCCACGGTGCAGGATCTGCCTTTCCTCCCGTGGGTGTGGCTGAGTCCCGTTCCCTGGGCTGCTCTCCCCACCCCTGAAAGCTGAGTGTCCCTGGAAAGAGCCTCTTCCTAGCTCCAGCCCCAACTCCTGCATGGCGTCATGGGAATCCTGACTCACTGGCCCCAACTTCCCCTCAGGACCTCCAGCTCCTTTATAAAGAAGCTAACCCCGGGAACCCTGGGTTCTTCCTAAGGAAGCTCTAGCTGGCATCGCAAAGCTGGTGCCCCATTTACCCCAGACCTTCCCTACCACCCACCCGACTAGAGTCAGCGCTATCTCGCCTTCCAGGGTGCTGGGGCCACGCGTCTGCCTGAACTCTTCTTTCTCATCCTTTTCTCCTCCAAACGTGTCACCAATTCTTTCATCCCCATCTCCCCAGAAAGATACCCAGAAGCCAGGCACTCCTCATTGGCCCCGCAGCCTCCTTGCTGGTCCAGCCCACAGTGAGCACACGCTGGGCTCCTGCCAGCCCATCCTCTCCTCTTGCAAAGCCCCGGCTTCCCATCTCCTGGGAGAGAGGGGAAGCCACCGTTTCCGGAAGTGACCTGCCGTGCCCCTGGACAGCCACCTGTCCAGCCCCGTTCCCCCTCCAACATTCTAGCCTGCCTTCCCATGAGCCCTCGGTCACACCACGGACCTTCCTGCTGTCATTGCCCCAGGTGCTGCCCGCAGGTATGTCTCTTAGGTCCCCTCTCTGTTTCCCTTCAGTTCTTCCCAGTTTGGTGGCAGTGGCACCTTCCCCATGGCTGTTTTTCAAATACTGACCCCCATCCCTCCCAGCCTCCATTCAATAATTTATTTCCTGACCCTGCTGGAGCATCAGCCCCCTGGAGGCAGGACCCGTCCTGTCCTGCAAGTCACTCTGCACCTCTGCTTGCCAGGCAGCCACCGAGCAGGCTGTCAGTCCTTACTGAATGGCTGTGACTTGCAGGGGCCCATCCTGTCCCCACCAGGCTGTCATAATCCACTTCAGTGGGATGCTCAGAAATGCCCCGGAAGTCACGGCAAGGCTGGCGCCCTGGCCCTGCCCTGCTGTGCAAAGAAAGTTAATGGTGGGGCCTCAGCAGTGGTGCAGCGGCTAGGGTGCTTGCTTGGCCCATGGCCGACCTGGGTCCCAGCCCTGGCACCTCATATGGTGCCCCAAGGCCCCTAGAAGTGATTCCTGAGTTAGAGCCAGGAGAAACCCTGAGCACCGCCGGGTGTGGCCTGCCCACTCCCCCTCCCACACCCTCCCCAAAAAAGAAAGTTAATGGAGGAACTGGGAGAGACTGCAGTGGTTAGGGTACATCTCTCTCTCTCTCTCTCTCTCTCTCTCTCTCTCTCTCTCTCTCTCTTTCTTTCCTTTTAGCTTTTTGGGTGAGTGATACTTGGTGATGCCCAGCCGTTACTTCTGGCTCTGCACTCAGGAACTATCCCTGGGACCATATGGGATGCTGGGGATCAACCCAGGTTGGCAGCATGCAAGGCAAATGCCCTGTACTACTGCTCCAGCGCCCAGGGTTCATATCTGAATGTACTTAGGTTAGCACTGAACTAACAGGGGCGCTGCCAGACCATCTGAGCACTGCTCGGCAGTCTTGCCCAGGTCCAGCAAAAAAGAAAAAAAAAAAGTAAATAGAATCATCCAATTGCCTGCACTGACTTTGCCTGTGTTAATGATTCTCACACTCGCTCTGCAGATGAAGTGCTGGCCCAAGAAACAGAGGAGAAAACAGTGAAGGGACTTGCTGAAGGCCTTGAAAAGCAGTTAAGCTACAGAGCCAAGATTTTTGTGTGTGTGTGCTTTTTGGGTCACACCTGGCGATGTACAGGGGTTACTCCTGGCTCTGCACTCAGGAATTATCCCTGGCAGTGCTCAGGGGACCATATGGGACGCTGGGAATCGAACCTGGGTGAGCTGCATGCAAGGCAAATACCCGCTGTACTATTGCTCCAGCCCCTACAGAGGCAAGATTTTGACCCAGTGGGGTCTAGGCCCCCAAGCCTGGGTCCTACAACATGTTCATCTTCATGTGAAGGTTTGTGTCCCAGCACTTTCTATTGGAGACTAGTATTCAATTCTCACACTCCCCTGAGTACACATGCACACACACATGCACACACACACATGCACACACATGCAAATACACATGCACACACGTACACATGTATACACATGCACACACAACACATGCACACACAAGCACACACGTATATGCGCACACACATGCACATGCATATACACACATGTGCACACACCACATGCGTGCACACACATGCACACATGCACACACATGCGTGCGCACACACACACACACACATGCACTGTGAGGTGTGTGCTCTGCTGTTGCAGCACATCCCCAGCCCTAGATGTTCATATGTCACGGCTCTTTTGCTGGGTCACTGTTACAATTTAAATTTCCTCAGACCCTGTGTGAGCAGCCCTTTCCCCTTCAACCAAATCAACCAATTTTCCTCTACTGGGGGGAAAACAAACAATGGTTGGGACTGGAGCGATAGCACAGCAGGTAGGGCGTTTGCCTTGCATGCGGTCAGCCCGGGTTTGATTCCCAGCATCCTGTATGGTCCCCTGAGCACTGCCAGGAGTAATTCCTGAGTGCTGAGTGCATGAGCCAGGAGTAACCCCTGTGCAACGCCGGGTGTGACCCAAAAAGCAAAAAAAAAAAAAAAAAAAAAAAGGTCAAATCGAGAGAGAGAGAGAGAGAGAGAGAGAGAGCACAGCAGGTCCAGCAGGGATGGTGCTTGCCTTTCACATGGCTGACCTGGGTTCTGTCCTCAGAATCACGTATGACCCCCCAAGCACCCCACCAGGAGTGACCCCTGAGGGCAGGGCCATAAGTACAGCCACATATACCCTACCTCTCCCCCCAAAAGAAAGCAAAAATCCAATGAGTCTCCTGTCCCCTTCCACTGTGCCCCCTCCCAGTCCAGTCCACATCCCAGAGATCAAGCTCAGGGCCTCAAACATGCAAGGCTCATGATCCGCACTGGGTCACAAAAAACACCATCGTGGACATGTTGTGTGGTTAGGGGCACCCAGTGCCCTGTTTGCTCAGGAGCCTACACCACAGCAAGCCCCTGGGGCCCCCTGCCCTTCATCACAACTCGCAAAAACACCATGTGTGGGGGTTTCTGGGGCCGTGTTTGAGGGAGGGAAGGCAAGTGGGTCGCTCAGAGCTCACAGTCCCAGGTCGGGAAGGAGCAGAAGAGCTGTGGTGCGAGCTGGGCACAAGTGCTCGGGCCCCTCTGACTGCCAGCTCTGCAGACAGGCTGGGCTTCTGGCAGGGGGTCCGGCTTGCCCTGGGATGTAAGGGGAAGGAGGAGGGATCCAAGTGCCCACCTGCAGTCCCACCAGTCTGTTGATATCCTGCGCCAAGGACAGATCACAGTCATCCGAGAAAGCAGCCGCGTGGCCCTGGGCCAAGGTGGTATCATACAGCTCTTGAATATCACCTGAATATAGAAACACCAGGAGTTAACATGCGCTGCCCGGCCAAATAACCTACAGAACCCTCTAGAACCCCTGATCTTGCTATGGGAATCAAGCAGGGAGGCCCAGGAAAGTGCACGATTCCTGGTCTTAAATGGCTTGGTGGTTGACTCAGCCCTACATAGCTGCTATCAATGCAGAAAGCCCCTGTCGAGAAGCTCAGCAAGGCAGTTGCCAACTTCCTTTACTTCCGGTGCTCTGTGGGTACCACACCCACAGAGGGGCCACTGCTATGCCAAGCATAGCTCATGCCTCAGACCATCCTCACTGAGGCTTGAGTCTTCATTTGAAGGTGCAAGGGAGGGAGAGAGGCACAGATAGCTGTTTGCAACAGATTCTGTCAGCTCTGAACATCGGTGTTATTAGTTAACCAGGAGGGGTGTTTTGTTTGTTTGTTTTTTCTTTCCTTTTTGGGTCCCAGTGATGCTCAGGGGTTACTCCTGGCTCTGCACTCAGGAATTACTCCTGGTGGTGCATGGATGAACCAGATGGGAGGCCGGGGATTGAACCCGGATTGGCTGTGTGCCAGACAAATGTCCTACCCACTGTGCTGTCACTCCAACCGCAAACAAGATAGTTTTACTGAAGAAAACTTGCTTAGAAAGAGTGGAGAGGAGAGAACGAGGGGAAATATGTGTTCAAGAGAGAACCCAGGCTTTTCCAGAGTAGAAATAAGAAAAGAAATAGAGACGAGCCAGCAAGGGCATGTTTGAGGGAGAACACAGGCTTGAAGAGCAAACTGGGATGATGAGTTTGTAAATACTCCTCACTGGGCATCGATTGGGTCCTGCCAGCTTTCATAAGCAGAAGATGAGTAGTCGCGTCAAAAGGGAAGACAGTTACTCTCTCTATCACGTGCTCTTTCGGCTGCGGGCGCTTATACCTTGAACAATGACATCATCGTCCAAATAGATGACTTTCTCGTGTTGGTGGATGAGCAGGGGGAGATAAAATCGCACAAAGTTCAGCTGTTGAAACACAAGAAGTGATGGTGGGATGGGAGTGATAGTACAGCAGAGAGGGTGCCGGACTTGCGTGCGGCTGACCTGGGTTGGATCCCCCGCACCATAGAAGGTCCCCAGATCCCGCTAGGGATGACCCCTGAGTACAGAGCCAGAAGTAAGGCCTGAGCACAGTTGGGTATAGCTCAAGTTTCCCACCCCACTCCCCCCCCCAAAAAAAAATAGAAACGATGGTGATAAGGGGCATGTCACTGAGGAAGCAGCTCCCAGCTCAGCCAGTGGACTTGGCTCAACCAAGAGATGCCCCCCCACCTCCCCTCACCCTGCCAAGTTCTACCTGTGAAAGTATTACAAGCAGTTTTCCTACATGGAATTTGGGGGGGAGCGAGGGATGGGATGGGGGGAGGGCAGGACTTTTTTGGGTCATGCCTGGTGATGCTCAGGGACTTCTTTTGGCTCTGCTCTAGGGAATTTCTTCTGGTGGTGCTCAGGGGACCATATGGGGGGGGCCAGGGATTGAACCCAGGTTGGCCACGTGCAAGGCAAAAGCCCTAACCCACTGTGCTATCACTCCAATCCCAGTTTTCCTATACGGAAGCCCTAACCCATCCACACTGGTCAGACTCACATTCTCATCTCTGAACTGAGGTAGGATGCATGGGAGTGGTTTATAATGGGCTGCTTGCCCATCTTTTAGGGTACACTGTCTTCCTCTACACTCATGGGTCATGTTTGCTGTCAACCAACTTGAACACGCACACATACACACACACACACACAAACACGGGTGTTTTCTTACCCTTCATTCCCTCCCATTCATTCATATATGTCTGCCAGCCCCCTGAGTCCCTCCTGGAGCCAGAGGCCCCCGAGAGACAGGCCAGCAGGACCTGGGGGAGGCACCAGGCCCCCTCACCCGCACCCGTGGGTCCCACTCACAGGCTGCAGCAGCTCTGGCCTCGCAGTGTCCGGCCTCGTCTTTCCTTTCAGGAGCATCGGGTTGAACTCCACGATTTTAAAGTTGATCTCCCTCAGTTTGGAATGTTCGATCCATTTTCTAAAAAGAAGACACAAAGGGATCTAGCCCAGGCCTCCTGTCTTGTTTTGTTTGTTTGCTTTTGGGGTCACACCCGGCGATGCACAGGGGTTCCTCCTGGCTCTGCACTCAGGAGTTACTCCTGGCGGTGCTCAGGGGACCATATGGGATGCTGGGAATCGAACCTGGGTCGGCCTTATGCAAGGCAAACGCCCTACCCGCTGTGCTATCTCTCCAGCCCCAGAACCTTGCTTTATTTATGTATTTATTTATTTTTGCTTTTTGGGTCACACCCGGCGATGCTCAGGGCTTACTCCTGGTTCTGCACTCAGAAATTACGCCTGCTAGTGCTCAGGGGACCATATGGGATGCTGGGAATCGAACCCGGGTCGGCCTCGTGAAAGGCAAACGCCCTACCCGCTGTGTTATCTCTCCAGCCCCCAGGCCTCCTCCTGTCTTACCGCCACTGGCTGCCGCTGGTTTAGTCTGTGTCCTCCTGGAGAGAGTGAAACGGTGAGCTGGGGGCAGAGGGATAGAGCAGGGGGAAGGCCAGCTGTCCAGCAGGGACCCCTGGGCATGACCAGCTGTGACTCATTAACTTCTCTCCCCTCCAATTCAAAAGTGTGTATATTGGGTTGGAGAGATAGTACAGTGGGGAAGGCGTTTGCCCTGCATGTGGTTGGCCTAGGTTCAATCCCTGGCATCCCATAGGGTCCCTCAAGCACCGCCAGGAGTAATTCCTGAGCGCAGAGCACAGAGCATAGAAGTAGCCTCTGAGCATTGCCGGGTGTGACTTAAAAAGGAAAGAAAAAAAAATGTGTATAGCCTTAGTAAAGGTAAAGGTAAAGGCCCTCCCGTTGATCGTCGATTTGCTCGAGCGGGCCCAGTAACGTCTCCATTGGAGACTTTGTTGTTACTGTGTCTGGCATATCCAATACTCTCGGTAGCTTGCCGGGCTCTCCGAGAGGGGCGGAGGAATCGAACTCGGGTCGGCCATGTTGGCCACTTGTAAGGCGAGCGCCCTACCCGCTGTGCTATTAGTTTATAAAACCTTTGTATTTTTAATTCCCTCATCAAGTTTGGCTTTAAACCATTTTTTCTTTTCCTTTCAGATTCACATAAATTCCTTTCAAATTCAGATCTGCAAAGGAAGTGAAGCAACATGATAATAACCAAGTCTCTTCCCAGATCATCTTCACACAAGAAGACTTTCTTACAAGCAGCATCCGTACGTGCGGGCACGCTCCGCCCCACGTGCACAGCTCTGAGGTCTCACGATGCAGCGCATCCGGGATCTTCAGCTGGGCCTTGACTCTGTTTCAGCCTCATGTGTTTGTTTCCCCCTCACAGGGCCTCCTCTTCCTCCTCTGCTTCTCCCCTTCCTTGTTCTTAGTATCACAGAACTTTTTTGGTGTATGTGTGTGTGGGGGGGGAGGGGGGCAGCCACACTGCTCAGGGGTTACTCCTGGCTCTGTGCTCAGGAATCACTCCTGGCAGTGCTCAGGAGACCATAAGGGATGCCCAGAATCAAACTCAGGTCGGCCGTGTGCAAGGCAAGTACCTTACCTGCAGTACTCTAGCCCATCACAGAATTTCTGATTGTCTTTTCTCCGATTCATAAGACCATTCTTGGTAGAAATCATCTCAAAATAAAATGTGCACAGCCTAAATTCACCCCTGACAACATCTGTTCGTGAATGAAAATAGAGGGCCAGAGAGATAATGCAGTGGGTGAAGTACTATCAGCTCGCCTTGTATGCGGCCAACCCTGCTTCAATCCCTGACAACCCAAATGATTCTGTGAGCACCACCAGGATGATTCCCGAGTGCAGAACCAGGAATAACCCCTGAGTATCATGGGGTTTGAGTGTGACCCCCCAACAAAACAAACATAAAAATAGATAAGGTGGCGCCAGAGTAATGCTACAGCAGGCAGGGTGCTTGCCTGGCACACAACTGACCCAGGATTGGTTAGATCCTTGATACTTCATATGGTTTCTCAAACAAACCAGGAGTAAGCCCTGAGCACCAACAGCTGTCATCCAAACCCATATATATATATGTGTATATATATATATGATTGATACATGTGTATATGTATGTAGGGTATACATATACACATATATCAATCCTTTATTTATAATTCACTGTCACTGTCTTCCCATTGTTCATCAATTTGCTTGAATGGGCCAGTAACATTGTGAGACTTGTTGTTACTGTGTTTGGCATATCGAATATGTTACAGGGAGCTTGCCGGGCTTTGCCGTGTGGGCGAGATACTCTCGGTAGCTTGCTGGGCTCTCCGAAAAGGGTGGAGGAATCGAACTCGGGTCGGTTGGGTCAGCTGTGTGCAAGGCAAACACCCTACTTGCTGTGCTATGTTAAATAATTTTGTGGTGTGATGTCAGGATCAAACAACCTTGGGCCTCACATTTGTGCTCTACACCGAGCCCTACCTAGGCCCCTAAATAAAAGATTTCATCTAACCTATGGTGTGGTTAATTTCACTTCTGATGTTTTTTTCTTTCCCTCTCCCTCCCCACCACACTTCCGCACCACCTCCATCATTATAAGTTTTTAAATGTTCCACAGCCAAAGTTTTCCATCTGACATCTGGGTTTAGGAAGATGTTCTCCATGCCAAGATCACACAAGGATCCTGCATTTTAATAATATATTTAAATTTTGATTCTCTACCTACTTGTTCTAAATTCAACCCCAGTTGATGTATTTGAATTTATTTATTTTGGAAGGACACATGCTCCATTGCTCAGGGCCACTCTCCGGCTAGTGCTCAGGGGTTACCCTCAGTGGTACCTGGAGAATACCAGGGCCACAAGTGTGGCACTCAGGGGCTAGACACTGGGCATGAATCTGTGACCTCTCACTTGAAAGGCCTAAGCTATTTCTCCAGCCTCTCCAACTTATCATTTTGTCTATTTAGTTAGTTATTTTGTTTTGGGGCCACACTCAACAGTGCTCAGCGCTTACTCCTGGCTCTGTACTCAGGGGTCCCTACAGGAAGGCTCAGGGGACCATACAGGGTGCCGGGGATTAAACCTGGCTTGGCCACATGCAAGACCAGTGCCCTACCCCCTGTATTATCACCCCAGTTCCTGGGATTTATTGTTTAACATAGTATCTGGTAGGAAAGAAATTAACTCTTCATTTCAAAGATCATCATTTGGATGATTCTGAGTCCTATTAAAACAGGTTCTCAAGAAAACAAGGCAAAGAGAAAACCAGGTAGAAAGAACTTCCTATAAATTAAGGAGGACCAGAAAGATAAACCAGGAGTTAAGATCCTTGCCTGAGGTCAGCCTGAGTTAGATCTGGTCTCCTAAGTCCTGCCAGGAGTGATCCTTGAGCACTGAACCAAGAGTAAGGCCTGAGAACCCCTGGTGTGACCCCTGCCCCTGCCCCATCCCCCCCACCTCCACAAAAATTAAAAAAAAAAGAAGAGAAAAAGAAAGTAAGGAAGCGCAGCCTCCGTGGGGCACAGTACCGTATCCGAGACAGCGTGTTCCGGAGCCCGACTATGTAGAACAAGATGTTGGCATCCGTGTTGCTGTAGATGCTGTTGATGGCAGCCATCGCAGCACCCATCCTTCCTGCCGCTGCACAGATCACCACGGGAATTTCCTCCTCCGTTTCCTCGGGGGTGGCAGCAGCATCGTCTGCAGACACCAAGGGCAGCATCCTGAGCATGAAGGACATGAGGAATATTCCCCAGCCGCTGTCCCCCACAACCCCGGGGTGCGGAGGAGCTGCTGGCTGCTCTCAGCTTTCTGGATCCTTCTTCCCTTTGGAAAGAGAATGTTGGGAATTTGGGGGTGGGGAGAAGGGGGTGGAGGATGGTTTGGGACACACCCAGCAATGCTCAGCGTTTACTCCTGGCTCTGAGCTCAGGGGTCATTCCTGGTGCTGCACTGGGGACCTTATCCAGTGCCAGGGATAGAACCATGCAAGGCAAGCTCTCAAGAGGCTCTCAAGAAAGCAGGACAGAAGTCGGAACGATAGGACAGCAGGGAGGGAGTTTGCTTTGCATGCCACTGACCTGGGTTCGATCCCCAGCATCCCATATAGTCCCCTGAGCACTGTCAGGAGTGATTCCTGAGTGCATAGCCAGGAGTAAACGCTGAGCATCGCTGGGTATGACAGAAAGAAAGAAAGAAAGAAAGAAAGAAAGAAAGAAAGAAAGGCAAAGAAAGAAACAGGTAGCAAGAACTTCCTATAAATTACGGAAGACCAGAGAGAGGTAAAATAGGGGTTAAAGATACTATCCCTTCAGTCCCAACTGTTAAAATTTTACTGGGGTGTTCTAAAGCCACTACGATTTTTTTCGGAATGGGGTTAGGGGTTGTACATCTGGTTATACTCAGGGCTTACTCCTGGCTCTATGCTCAGGGATCACTCTCGGTGATGCTGGAGGAACATATGGGATGCCAGGAATTGAACCTAGGTTGACTGCGTGCAAGGCAAGTTCCTTACCTGCTGTATGATCTCTCTGGCCCCATAAGGACACTAAGTTTTTTTTTTCCCAGACACCCTTGCAGCTTTATGTGATCAATTTTTGTCTTATGGGATGGTCAATGAAAGGAAAGTGTCAACTATAAGGTCAACCTCTGAAGGGCACTTGCTTACACTTCCTGCTTCCTATGTCCTGTCCTTTTGACTGGAGTGCTGATGGCCGGAGTGAGAGCAACCCTCTTGGACCATGAGGTGGAAGTTACCATAAGATAGAAAGAATCTTGTTTTCAGTGATTGTGGAACTGAGGTATCAGGCTTTCACTTAAGAGAGAAGATAGACTTCTTTCTTAGGCGGGGGGAGAGCCAACCTGACTTTGTGCTCAGGCATCACTCCTGGTGGTGCTTACGAGACCATGAGCAGTACTGGACGTCCAACTGAAGTCAATGCACACACAGCAAGTTCTTCAGACCCAGCACTATGTCTCCGGCCCAGAAAGGATAAATTTTTATATTATTTGATTCAATACTATTTCCTAGCTCTCTCATGGAAGCGATTCCATCATGAAGCAGTTGAAAAATGATGTAAGGAATTACAAAGCCTCATTTGATTCAACAATTCCTCAACTTCCCAGAAATGAAATTTTTACCTGGCCGGTGCTGCCCCAGGACATGTTTCTGCCATCTCCCGTCACCTAACCCCCTCTTTGTCAAGGGGCTCACAGTTGGCAGCTAGGGCTCAGGCAAGAAGAGCTCAAAGTGCTAAATTAGAGGGGGAGGGGCAGTATTTGCTCGATAGGCCATAGAGTTCCTTGAGCACAGGCAGGAGAGATTTCTAAACACCAAACTAGGAGTATAGGAGTAGCCCCTAAGCACTACTGGGTGTGGTCAAAAAAACTACACACAGAAAGAAAAAAAGAAAGAAAGAAAGAGAGAAAGAAAGAAAGAAAGAAAGAGAGAGAGAGAGAGAAAAAGAAAGAAAGAAAGAAAGAAAGAAAGAAAGAAAGAGAGGAAGGAAGGAGGAAGGAAGGAAGGAAGGAAGGAAGGAAGGAAGGAAGGAAGGAAACAAAAAGAAAAATTGATAAGAGAATGGAGACAAATGAAGAACATGACTAAGAAACAAGGTGAATGCTCAGGAACTGGAGTAATAGTACAGTGGGGAGGGTGTTTGTCCTGCAATCAGGCAACCCAGGTTTGATCTCCACATCCCACATGCTCCCTTGAGCATCACCAGGAATGATCCCTGAGCGCAGAACTGGAGTAACCCGTAAGCATCACTGGGTATGGTCCCATCCCAACTCCAAGAAAGCCCGGAGATTTCAGTCACAAAATCTGCATACTCAAATTTTTAGCAGGTTAATATCTCTGTGAGGTCCGTCCCAGGCCAGTGGGGTCCAGCCAGCAGCATGGTGGTGATTTTGGATTATGGCAACAAGGGATTGCCAAGACACTCTGTTTGGGTGGGACTGGGCTAAACACCCCCTTCCAGTCTTGTGCTGTCTGAGATTAACCGCGGCTTTTGATCTCTTTGGAGATTTATTTATGAGCTTCTGAAACAAGGCTGATAAGTGAGCTTGCATGGCTGAGCTGGAGGTGGTGTGTGGGCATGGCTCCCTCCTTTCTTTTGGCTGTTTAATTCCTCGGAAATTTGGTCCTGAATTGTTGGAGTCCGGCCAGAAGTCTAGCGGCTATTTTGGGGTGTCAGGAAGCCCGAGGGCACCATCAGGCTGTGAGTGCACTGGTCTAGGTTGCCCTGCTGGTGGCACTGTGCCCCTCGACCTTGGCAGAGACCAGCACCCAGGTCAGGACTGCTGCCATTTGCAGCCTGGCTACTCTGGATGGGCTGCAGCCACCAGTCCAGCAGAACCTGACCAGGGGCCACACCCCCCATTCTCGGTCTCTAGACAGCTGGTGCTCCGGGGGGTTTTCTCCAGAACATGCTGTGGTGGCAAGGGCTGGTCTGGGGAAGAAACGCTGGCACCTGCCCCCCGCCAACACACACACACACACACACACACACACACACACACACACACACACACAACTCCAGGACTTGTGCTCTGTGGTGACACTGAGTTGGACCTGAAGAGTCCTATCAAGTCTTTGTGAAACTCTGCTGCTTCACATCAAAAAGAACAAGAACAACCAGTGCTGGTGTGGATGTGGGGAGAAAGGGACTCTCTTTCATTGTTGGTGGGAATGCTGGTCTGGACATTCAATATGACATTCCTCAAAAACCTAGAAATTGAGCTTCCATATGACCCAGCAATACCACGTCTGGGAATATATTCTGGGGGTACAAAAAAGTACAGTAGAAATGACATCTGCATGTGTATGTTCATTGCAGCACTGTTCACAGTAGCCAGAATCTGGAAACAACCCAAGTGCCCGAGAACAGATGAATGGTTAAGTAAACTATGGTACATCTACACAACGGAATACTATGCAGCTATTAGGAAAAATGAAGTTATGAAATTTGCTTATAAGTGGATGGACATGGAGAGTATCATGCTAAGTGAAATGAGTCAGAAAGAGAGGGATAGACAGAAGGACTGCACTCATTTATGAAACTGACACACTATGACAGTAGAGACAAGGGTCAGGAAGATTGCTCCACGGTTGGAAGACTGCCTTATGAGCTGGGGCAGAAAGCAGCTGGAATAGAGAAGGGATCACTAAGTCAATGATGGTTAGAGGGATCACTCGAGATGGGAGATGTGTGATGAAAGTAGATAAAGGGCCAAACATGATGACCTCTCAGCATCTGTACAGCAAACCATTATGCCCCAAAGTAGAGAGGATGTAAGAAGGAAGGTTCCTGCCACAGGGGCAGAGGGTAGGGTTGGGTGGGATGGTGGGAGGGATACTGGGAACATTTTTTCATTTTTTCATTCATTCATTCATCATCCTGTTATTCGTCGATTGCCTCGAGCAGGCCCCAGTAACGTCTCTTTCATCCTAGCCCTGAGATTATATTCAAGGCTCTTTAGGAGAATGAGACCCATCATTGTTACTGGCATTTGGCATATTTGGTACGCCACGGGGAGTTTGCCAGACTCTGCCCTGTGGGCAGGCTACATTTGATAGCCTGCAAGTTTTGACTGGGAACATTCGTGATAGGAAATGTACACTAGTGGAGGGATGGGCATTCAATCGTTGTAAGACTGAAACTTAATCATGAAAGGTTTGTAACTGTAGCTCCCGGCGATTCAATAACAACAACAACAACAAACTGTGCTGCTGCCCGTAGCCCAGAGAGGCCGAGACTGGTAACCACGTTTCTGCCATCCTTACAAGTCCCACCCTGGGGCGGTACGCCACAGTAGCTGCTGGCTGGTTTCGTTTCATGGCACTCTCCCTGAGACAAAGGGGCACCCACATTCATTCACGCAGAAATTTCAAGAGCCCGCGGGCTGCTCAGAGTGCTGAGAGCTGCCGTCCCTGGCCAGGACGCCATCGGATCACATCTGAAACGTTCTCTCTACAATACCATTTTGCAAAGTCTATCACTCAGACCTAGGGTAGGTCTACCTGATATTTAATAAAAATGAAATTAGTAAATGAACCACCCAATATTGTGCTTTCTGCCATTTATATTTATTTATTGGAGGGGCACATTTAACAGTGCTCCTGGCTTAGAGACCGATTTCATTTATTTCTGTGGTAGAGGGGTGTTTAGGCCACAGGCAGTGATGCGCAGGGGTTACCCCTGGCTCTGCATGCAGGAATTACTCCTGGTGGTGTTCAGGGGATGATATAAGAAGCAGGGGATGACACGGGGCTTGGTGGCATGCAAGGCCACACCTTAGCTGCTGTACTCTCTCCAGGCCCTCAGGGACTAATTTAATTTGATTTATTTGCAGTTCAGTCACATCAGGCAATGCTCAGGGCTTAATCCTGGCTCTGCACTCGGGAATCAATCCTTTTTTTTTTCTTTTTTGGGTCACACCCAGCGATGCACAGGGGTTACTCCTGGCTCTGCACTCAGGAATTCCTTCTGGCGGTGCTCGAGGGACCATATGGGATGCTGGGAATCGAACCCGGGTCAGCCGCATGCAAGGCAAATGCCCTACCCGCTGTGCTATTGCTTCAGCCCAGGAATCAATCCTGATGCTGCTCAGGGGACCCTGTGGGATGCCGGAGCTTGAACCCAGGTTGGCTGCACGCAAGGCATTGCTGTACCTGCTGTACTGTCGCTCCGCCCCCAACTTCCGTATTTTCATCTCTTGACTTTTCCAAATTCTCTAAAGCAACCGTGGGCTGCTTGTATAAACAGATAAGAAAACATTTGTGTAAAGAAAATGTTTCTCGAGAGTGTTCCTCCAGGACTAGCCTTTCACCCTGGGGGTGCGGGAGTTCCCCAATGACGCAGCATGTCACCTGTGGGCAGGGCCGTGCTCTGCCCACAGTGAGTACTGAGGGCATTTCTCCAGAAAGTCCGAGAAGATAAAGCCGCGTCCCTTTGCCAGGTGCCCTGTGGCTGAGTTCTCTTCCTCTCCTGCCCAGCCGCGGCTCCTATTCTGGCCAACCTCCAGAAGGTTCCTGAATAATATACCCTTGTCTCCTCAACCCCTCAAGGCTGCTGCTGAGGCCTGAGTCACTTTTTTATTTTTATTTTTTTTGTGCTTTTTAGGTCACACCGGACAATGCTCAGGGGTTACTCCTGGCTCATGCACTCAGGAATTACTCCTGGCGGTGCTCAGGGAACCATATGAGATGCTGGGAATCAAACTCGGGTTGGCCGAGTGCAAGGCAAATGCCCTACTGGCTGTGCTATCACTCCAGCCCCTCTTGCCATCCTTTTGTGGGCAGTAAGCTGACACATCCCAGTGTGTGTGCAGAGACAGATCTCCCCAACAGCCCGATGCAGATTAGATCACAGAGCCTGATCACTAGCACATATGCCTCCCCCCATCCAACACCCAAACACTTGGGTTTTTTTCCCCCCTCTGGTGAGGATGGCTGATGCCAATAGACCTTTTTTTTTTAAGAAATTTATTTTTAATTTTTACTTATTTATTTTATTGAATCACCATGAGATACAATTACAAATCTTTCACGTTGGCGATTCAGCTGGACAACGATCGAACAGCCATCCCTCCACCAGTGCAAACTTTCTGCCACCAATATCCCCATTATCCCCTCCGACCCCATCCCAGTCCTCCCCCTGCCTCCATGGCAGGCAATTTCCCCAATACTCTCTCTCTACTTTGGGGCATTATCTTTTGCTCGAATTTTCCCACCACCCATTCAAGCCTGATGGTCAAAGGCAGGCGCTGGATCATTTATTTTCCATTGTTCATTTTGCATATCATGAGAGGTCGTGCGGGAATAAGCTGCCTCGCGCTTCTGAAATTCTAATATTGTAAATGGTTGAGTTCCAGAGACATCTCTGTAGGGGGCTAATCCATTTTGGGATTCAGTTAGGAGTTTCTGGGCTGGGCTTTTGGGGCTTGTGGGCGTGATATCTGCATCCCCCAAACACTTGTAAAATGGGATCTTTATACCACCAAAGCCCTCCCCAGCCAGCCCAGCCCAGCTCCCCAAGGCAGGGGCCCAGTCTGCCTGCTGGGGCTGGCTTCGAGCCCTGGCATACCTGCTTCCTTCTTGAGCACTGCGCTTTTCTGGACTTTCTTATACAGGATCCCACAGAGGGTCACCACCAGAAGGAACAGCAGCACGTGGTTAACTGAAACGAGACAGAAACACGTCCCAGGGAGCCTGCAGCGGTAGGAAGGGGTCCCGGAGCCCCAGGGATGGGCGACTGCCTTGGTTTTGTTTGCTTTGGGGCCACACCTGACTGTGCTTAGGGCTGACTCCTGGCTCTGCACTCAGGGATCACTCCTGGCAGTGCTCAGGGGACTGAGTACTGGGGTGCTGGGGATCCAACTTGGGTTGGCGGCATGAGCGGTAAATGCCCTGCCCCACTACCCTGGACTATGTATGGCTCCCGCACAGACGCATTCCATGAGAGCTGCAGGAGTGTTGGGCTGGAGCACGCTAGCAGAGCAGGTAGTCAAGGGCTCAGCTGGGCAGCGGGAAGGTGGAAAAATGAAGGGAGAAAGGGAGGGAGGGGGGTAGGGAGGGAGGAAAGGAGGGAAAGAAGGAAGAAGGGAGGGAGGGGAGGGAGGGGAGGAAGGAGGGAAGGAGGGGAGGAAGGAAGGAGGGAGGGAAAGAGGGAAGGAAGGAAGGAAGGAAGGAAGGAAGGAAGGAAGGAAGGGAGGGAGGGAGGGATAGAGGGACAGAGGGACAGAGATGCAAGGAGGGAAGGAAGGAAGGAGGGAGGGAGGGAGAGAGGGAGGGAGGGAAGGAGGGAAGGAAGGAGGGAAGAAATGAAGGGAGGAAGAAGGAAAGAGGGAAGGAAGAAACAAAGGAATAAAGGAAGGAGGGAAGGAAGGAAGAAGGGAGGGAGGGAGGGAGGGGAGGAAGGAAAGAAGGGATGGAAGAAGAGAAGGAGGGAAGAAATGAAGGGGGGAAGAAAGGGAAGGAAGGAGTGAAGGAAGGAAGGAACAAAGGAAGGAGGGAAGGAGGGAGGGAGGGAGGGAGGGAGGGGAGGAAGGAAAGAAGGGATGGAAGAAGAGAAGGAGGGAAGAAATGAAGGGGGGAAGAAAGGGAAGGAAGGAGTGAAGGAAGGAAGGAACAAAGGAAGGAGGGAAGGAGGGAGGGAAATAAAAAATAAACAGTAAAACCTAACTGAAAAACCTTCAAGAGCAGAATTAGATTAGTACCCAAATACTTATGTAGGACAGAAGATAAATTATGTTGGCAAGTTTCGGGGAATCCACCCCCACCTTTCTCTGGGTATTTCTGGAAGCACGAAGCCAAGGACAGCCTGCAGGGGATCTGCTCCTCGGAAATCACCGTTCCAGAGCAGAGTCACCACCAGCTCCAGGACAGCCCTGCTCGAGGTTTCTCCCAGGGCTTGGGGGTGCTCCCAGGGCGGGAGTGTAGCTCTGCATGGGGGTCTGGGGGGTGGGGAAGGGGCTGGGGCGTCAGTCCTGGCACTGCATCGCTGCATGGTCCTCTGAGCACCCTGGGAGCCACCCCCGGGCACTGCCAGGTTATCACCCCCAACCAGAAACTCCAGCAAAGATTTTTTTTTTCTTTTTGGGCCACATCCGGCGATGCACAGGGGTTACTCCTGGCTCATGCACTCAGAAATTACTCCTGGCAGTGCTCTGGGGACCATATGGGATGCTGGGAATGGAACCCGGGTCAGTTGTGTGCAAGGCAAACGTCCTACCCTCTGTGCTATCGGTACAGCCCCAGGAAAGATTTTTTTTTTTTAAGTCGTGATTTTCAAAAGTTATCCTCTTACTTTTTCGTAACAAAGCCATGTGGGTTCACACAGAGAGAAGCAGGGACCTGTGGAGGAAACAACAAAATGCCCAAGTCAGCCAGCAGTTACTAATGAATGAGCTCTGATTATCCACTAGATGGAACCCCACCACCCACGTCCCCTAGCACCTCCAGGAGAGAGCCCCAAGCAGTGCTAGTGTGGTCCCCACCCCCCAGTGAAATAAAATTCAGTAAAAACCGAAAGTTAAATGTAAGCTGAAGGGAGCTGGAGTGATAGCACAGCGGGTAGGGCGTTTGCCTTGCACGCGGCCAACCTGGGTTCGATTCCCAGCATCCCATATGGTCCCCTGAGCACCGCCAGGGGTGATTCCTGAGTGTAGAGCGAGGAGTAATCCCTTAGCATTGCTGGGTGTGACCCAAAAAGCAAAAAAAAAAAAAAGTAAGCTAAAGGATTCATAACAAGCGATACAAAAGAGAGTATGGGGGAGATTGCCACAGAGGCAGGGGGAGGGGTGGGACGGTGGGGGGAGGGGTAATACTGGGGACATTGGTGGTGGAAGATGTGCACTGCTGGAGGGATGGGTGACCGATCACTGTATGACTGAAACTCAAACAGGAAAGCTTTGTAACTGTATCTCACTGTACCTGTCTCACTGTCATCCCATTGTTTGTCAATTAACTCGAACGGGCGCCAGTAGCATCTCTATTTGTCCCAGCCCTGAGATTTTAGCAGCCTCTTCTTCCTCGTCTTTCCCAGCGACTGGAGGCTCTTTCAGGGTCAGGGGAACGAGACCTGTTATAGTTACTAGTTTTGGCATATCAAATATGCCACTGGGAGCTTGCCAGGCTCTGCCTGTGTGGGCGGGATACTCTTGGTATCTTGCCGGGCTCTCCGAGAGGCATATATGTATATTTCCCTCTATGATTTGTTGCCTACTGTCTGAACCCCATCAAACATGCTGTGGTAATTATGGAGAATGGGTAGGAAGTGTCTTATGATGTGTCGCACAGCTGCAAAGAGGGCGCACGGTCCAGAAAGCAGCCTGGAGTGTGGCGGCAGTTGGGCAGTGGAGGTCGGCTGCCAGGGCTGAGTCCCTTGGGGCAGAGAGGGCTCTCACCTGCCCCCCTCTGGGGCTCCCCGAGTAAAAACAGCCTGGCTCAGAGTCCACCACACTCCAGGCCGCTTTTGGGACACTCGGGCCAAGCCTCACGCATGAATGAAATCCCACGGAACCCAGGTAATGCGGAACCTTGTGACCTTGGACTCAGGGCTCAACAGGACCAGGGAGCAGAGATCCTCTGCCTGCTTCCCCCAGTCTCCGGTGACCCAGGGGTCACACCCATAAGCTACACCCTGCCAGGACCAGATAATCTCCTCAACAGCCACCCTCCAGAACCCACAGCTGCTCCTCCCAGACAGGAGTATAAAATGAGGCCCCTGTAACCATGCCACCAGACTCCGCTCCAGGCTGTTTTCACTAGGGGCACCCCACAGGGGGGTGGGTGACAGCCCTCCTCGCCCCAAGGGACCCAGAACCTAGCAACTGACCTCCACTACCCAACTGTATCTCAAGGTGATTCAATAATAATAATAATAATAATAATAATAATAATAGCACTGTAGCACTGTCCTCCCATTGTCCATCGATTTGCTAGAGTGGACCCAGTAACGTCTCCATCGTGAGACTTGTTATTACTGTGTTTAGGTATATGAAATACATCACGGGTAGCTTGCCAGGCTCTGCCGTGCGGGCGAGGTATTCTCTGTAGCTTGCCGGGCTCTCCGAGAGGGGCGGAGGAATCGAACCTGGCTTAGCCACGTCGGCCGCATGCAAGACAAACACCCTACTGCTGTACTATCACTCCAGCCCAATAATAATAATAATAATAATGAAATAAAATTAAAATTCTTAATTTAAAAAAAATGTGGAATGTATGCCCAATTCAATCAGCTTAATCAATGGCTGAATAAATAGCAGTACTCCTACATTTGAAAAAAAAAAAGTAAGCCAAAGGAAATGTTTCCACGAATACCTTTAATTTGTTAAAGATACGTTATATCGGGTCAGCTTCAAATTTGGATGTACTTTTGCAGGGCTGGTTGAGTTGTAGTTGGGGGGGGGGAAGTTGTGGGTTCCCCAGGCATGTAATCTGGAAGTGATGCCTGGATGTTTGACTAAGTATCACCAACTCCACACCTGGCAGTGCTGGGGCCCCATTTGGTAAGAATCCACCTACCTCATCAGTTCTCCTGAGTGTGCCTCTACCACTTTGCTCTGCATTTTGGCCTGACAACAATTGGTCTTGTCAGTGTTCTGTTTTGCATCTGTTTTTGGCTTTGGGGTTATACCCAGCGGTGCTCAGGAATCACTCCTGGCAGTGCTCGGGGGAACCCTATGGGATGCTGGGGATGGAACCCAGCTCGGCTGCATCCTAGGCAAATGCCCTCCCTGCCATCCTATGGCTCCGGCCCCCACGTCAGTATTTTCTAGCTATTCTAGCAGGTGCATTTTCCTATAGTTTAAATTTAACTGGAGTGATAGCACAGCAGGTAGGGCGTGTTCATCTTACACATGACCGACCCGGGTTCTATTCCTCCATCCCTCTTGGGGAACCCAGCAAGCTACTGAGAGTACCTCGCCCACAAGACAGAGCCTGGCAAGCTCCCCGTGGCGTATTCGATATGCCAAACACAGTAATGACAAGTCTCACAATGGAGACGTTACTGGTGCCTGCTCGAGCAAATCGATGAACAACGGGAGGACGGTGCTACAGTGCTACAGTGCTAAATTTAACTTGCCTAATAACTCACACTGATTGGTATCCCTGGGGGTGGAGGGGACTCCCCAGCAATGCTCAGAGGGCCCCAGAGATACTCAAGGTGCTGCTCAGCCAGCGCCTGAGGATACAGGCCAGGAGGACCGGGTGGCACAATGCCCCCATCGCTGGACCACACCCAGCAGTGCTTGGAGGTGGAAGGAAGTGGCAGTTACCTGCCTGCAAGGCCTGCCCCAAACCCTCAGAGCTCTCCTGGGATCCCTCTCGTGGCTCAGTTTACGTGTCAACTTGACCCGGCCTTAGGGTGCTAAGCTAGTTTGGGTCCCTCTACAAGGATGTGGTGGGAAGGGATGAGAACAACATCCCATGTCCACAGGGCTGGGGATGGTGCTGAGTGGCAGGGCATGGGGCCTGCGTGAGTGGGGGCCCTGCCTTCCCTAGATCCTTAGCATGGGGAGAAAACTGTAGCACTGTCCTCCCGTTGTTCATCGATTTGCTCGAGCGGGCCCAGTAACGTCTCCATCGTGAGACTTGTTGTTACTGTGTTTGGCATATCGAATATGTCACGGGGAGCTTGCCAGGCTATGCCATGTGGGCGCGATACTCTCAGTAGCTTGCCGGGCTCTCCAAGAGGGGCAGAGGAATCGAACCTGACTCGGCCGGGCAGGCTGTGCGCAAGGCAAACGCCCTACCAGTGTGCTATCGCTCCACCGGGAAAAAACTAAGACCAACAAATAAACATTACATTGGCAGGTGGAATAAAGCAGAATGGAGCCCTCACCCCACCCCCACCCCAACCCAAATATGGTGAGCCTCAACCAACCAGTTGATGGTTGCTAGAAAAAAGTACAAGAGAGACTTTCTCTGACCTGACTGCCTTGGAACCGGGTTGCTGGCTTTTTTCTCTGCCTTTGGATGCAGATGAAAACATTTGTTCTTCATAGGTCTTACTTGGCTTTGGACAAGACAAGGCTATCTAAGTTCCTGACCTGCCCACTTAGGGACCAGCGGATGTCGTTAGCCTGCTCCCATCTCTTAGCACACTGGCTCCCCCTGTGGGCCTCAGAGCACACAGGAGTCAATTCCTGAGAGTCAACCTCCGGTAAGTACTTCTCTTTCTCTGGAGAAGCTTGATACTACAGTGGCAAAGGGTCTATTTCACCTGATGCCTCCTTTTAAAATTGGGTTCTTGATTTCTTCTTTTTTGAGTATTTTAGGAGCTGCAGCAATAGGACAGCGGGTAGAGTGTTTGCCTTGCATGTACGGTCAACCTGGGTTCAATCCCCAGCATCCCATATGGTCTCCTGAGTACTGCCAGGAGTGATTCCTGAATGCAGAACCAGGAATAACCTCTGAGCATCGCTGATGTGACCCAAAAAAGCAACAAAAATATAAAGAGTATTTTATATATTCTGAACACATCTCTTAACCATCAGTAACTAAAGTGTGAGCATCAAATAAATATGTCGTAAGGTAAGGTAAAGGCCCTCCCGTTGTTCGTCGATTTGCTCGAGCGGGCCCAGTAACATCTCCATTGGAGACTTTGTTGTTACTGTGTTTGGCATATCGAATACGTCACGGGGAGCTTGCCAGGCTCTGCCGTGCGGGCGAGATACTCTCGGTAGCTTGCCGGGCTCTCCCAGAGGGGCGGAGGAATCGAACTTGGGTCGGCCATGTTGGCTGTGTGCAAGGCAAACGCCCTACCGCTGTGCTATCGCTCCAGTAAATGTATAATATATACTTTTATTATACAGTAATATATAATAGCACTGTCCTCCCGTTATTCATCGATTTGCTCGAGTGGGCACCAGTAACGTCTCCATTGTGAGACTTGTTACTGTTTTTGGCATATCCAATACGTCACGGGTAGCTTGCCAGGCTTTGTCGCCAGTGGGATACTCTCAGTAGCTTGCCAGGCTCTCCAAGAATCAAACCCACGTCTGGAAGGAAAATGCCCTATTGGGCTGTGCTATCGCTGTGGCCCAATATATAATAAATAATAATAAATATTCATAATGTAAAGTAGCGCCAGAATTCAGGAGGCAATAAAAGGACTGATACAAAAATATTTCAACCAAATATTCCCCCCAAATTCAAATTCTATCTTCGCATAATGTCCTGGAGCATTTTATTTGTGCTCTGATCACTGTCTCTGTCACTGTTTTCCTGTTGTTCATCGATTTGCTCAAGCGGGCCCAGTAACATTGTGAGATTTGTTGTTACTGTTTTTGGCATATCTAATATGTCACAGGCAGCTTGC